ACTCGCATAGCTTCACAGTAAATATACATACAGCATTGAGTAAGAACTGCTGAAAAGTATAAATACTTCCTAAACCACTTACTAAAGTAATGTAATAATAGTTTATTTTTGTTAATAAAATCGTTTCAATAAATCAATAGACACGCCTCTATTGTGAAACTTTCCGAAATTGCTTTAAGATACGCCTGGAGCAATGTTATGTTTGGGTCATAAAATTGATTCTAAATATAATTTTGAATATTGATATTTTATTGTAAACTAAAATGGAATCGAAAACTACTTTATTATTTCAAATATAGCCATTATTATACTATTATGAAATCTTGCCGATCTGTAGAGTACACAATGTATAGAGGGCTAATGAAATAACAAAACTAAAGCTCCTTTATATCCCCAACTTCATTATCTAAAGATGACATTTATAAAATTGTAAATAGAGTATATTATGTTATTACTTGTTATAACATTTTACATTAAAATTGCTACAGAAATTTCGCCATTCACGGTACTAGAACATGACTCATATTCCGATCACATTTCCATCGTATCGTCGAGGTAAAAGGTTGAAATGTCAGATATGTTTAATTGTCTCATATCACGACATGTCTATCCCTGTCCACTGATCGCTCGGGAACTAGGGCACATTAGCAATTTAGTATGCTTCATGCAAATATCTTGGTAACAAATAAACCTGTGTAACCATTATTTCTTTAATTTAAAGGTTACAAATTAATTTTAATCATTTGCGATTATTTCAATAAAATTCCATACTAGGTATGTGACAAAATAACTTCTATTTCAGAGTTGACAACAAGGTTGTTTTGTATAGAAAATAAAAACTATATACACAACACAGTCTGTATTTTGTAGTCTGTTATATCAATGCATCTTAAGACTAATTTATAACTACAATTCGTGAATGACAAATGAGACAGCAACGATCGACGGCGTCCCTGAAACACAGCTTATGCACAACAACAATTAAGTTCATTTGTACTCACAAACAGAACCTTTAAGAAGCGTGTGAATATTACAGAGATACATTAATTTTATCAAACTTTAATAACATACACAAAACAACAAAAACAAAATGCACTTCAGTCAGCATTAATCTAAGATAGTTTTCAAGGCCAAACCAAATGATCACACGAAACCTCTTTAGTAAAAAAGAGTATTCTTGATGCTTTATTTTTACCTAATAAAATAAAATAATTGACCTTGCAGAGATAATAAACGCGACCATTACTTTAAGAACCTCGCGCCAGTTGTTAGGTTACGTAAAAATATATTACATTTTGTTCCATGTGTTTGTAGTTGATAAAAACTAGTCAATAAAACAAATACTGACCGAGTACTTGTTGATTAACAATCAGGTTTGGGAGCGCTACTGGGCATGGCCGTTGTATTCGCTGTGCCCGCGAGGATGCATGGAGTAATGAGTAAATGGATAGATAATTTGAATGTCGGTATTCTGAATAGCATTCGTTGATTGTTTTTAATTACAATCTTTTCGTAATTAATGTAATGTTTACGTGTATGAATGTAATTATGCACTTATGTAGAATGAAATAAACATTAATAAAATAACCTATACAAAGTATTAACTATTATTATATTATTAACTATTAGTTTTATTTCGCTTTACGAAATTACTGGTGTTTTTTATGGTTTTTCTTTACACCTACATGTTCATACCTACCTCGTAAAATAAAATATTTCTTAAGTATATCATTCTTCTTCAGACGCCTTAAACTTTCATTATTTTACTACTCCATGTAACAAAACTTCACATTTATTTGGTGACAAGATATAAATCGCTCCTCGTTGCGCCCAGGACGTTATCGAGATCCAAATCGCTCGCTGACTTTACTGCGATGTTTGGTACATTCACATTATGGGCTCTTGATGTCACAGATCACAGATAGCATTGCACAACATGATATGATGATAATTGTTCAGTATACCTACAACTGTTTTATCGATGTGGTCGTAGATATCTGTGGTAGCTTGAAATTGATGTAGAATAATATAGTAGATGTTATATTACACACATTATATTATTATTCTATTAATATATATATATTACACACATATATCTTAATCATAAAAAAATATTAATTATCAATACATCAAAATCAATCAAATGTTTTTATTTTACAGCATTGTGCAAGTGCTACGAAAACTCGTAGCAGACAGCGCGTTGATGTCTTTTGTATAAAGCTCCCAACATAAGTTGTCACAAACCACGATTAAAATTAAATTGTTTGTATGTATTTCAAGTACAAATAATAAATAATTTACTATGTTTGATCGGTACTTACATAATATGTACTTATCTTGGAAGGAAGTTCGTTTGAACTTCAATTAATTAGGTCCAAGGACACCACATAAAGTTTAAGTTAAATAGGGACATTTAATACGATTCGACATCGATTAAAATGATTTAAGGCCTTTTTATATTATGTATTATTTTCTTCATTTTGAAATGAACTATATTAGTAACGCGATAAAGCACACTTTTAAACACGCATGGCAGTACTGTTTTCGGTGGCATTACCATTAGTAATTGGTATATTTTATTGAAGTAGCCCTAACTCCGCCCTATTACCAAATTCTTTGGCTAAACGTATCATTTAGCAATATCCGTTGAACATGAATTCATTCACATGGACCTTGTCGTTTCCATAAAAATAATTATACGAACCATAAATCGATTTTAAGTGTACTTTTTTAAACGCATATTAACTAAACTAAATAGAAGAAACAATAATGATAACAATAACTATTAATGTTATTAGTCATTTAATTTGAAGTACTCGAAAATAAACAAAATATTATCTTATCTATAAGGCAAATTGGCATCTAAAAAGTAACTGCGCAGTGCTAAAGTGTGGTGTTAAACGATTTAATTTGAAATCCTTCCACTAGGCACGAGTTTCGTCATTTGCATGTGAGCTGTAAGTAAAGAGCTTAGGGGCTTGTTTGCTTATGCAAGCCCCAGCCCGTATCAACGTATTAAATGACGTAAATTACTGGCACATGTGAGGAAATGTTGCTGAACTTACCGACGCAATTAGTTCAAATGCAAAATTCAGTTCCCACTCTCGGCCGCTCAGCATCTAACAAATGCACGCTCTAGTGCGAAAAACATCGATGACTTATAAAAAGTCGTCGAGCCTTATTCGTTGAAAAGGGTTCTGTTGCTGTAAAAGAACTTAAAAAATGGTTTAAATATGAGATTATACAACTACTTCAAAAATTATGACCGTTATCTAGAGGTACAATTTAAAAAATCATCGATAATATGATAATCGAATAGAAATAATCGAATAATTGTAACCAAAAACAAAATGCTTGTGTAACACACTAATAAGCAATATGTTTTATTTCAACAACAATATTGCATCCTTTGGTTGTTAAAACCGAAGAGATTGGCATTAGGTATACGGAACCTGAAAAAATGTACGACACACAACTCCTAAAGACCATTTATCACAGCGTCCACTCGCAATACTCTAAATAAATGAAAACATACTAGATAAACGTTATCTTTCCAATCAGCTGTCTGCACACTGAACTCATTTAATAAACATATTATCGGACACAATCAGGTGAGCTCGAGTACAGTCGAGTTTCACGAGACTCTTTAGCAAATTCAATGCAAAGGCAAAGAAACTACATGTAAACGAAATGTATGTCAATCCTTTTTTCTGCGAATAATCATAAAACTTCAGAACCTGGTATACAAGCAAAGGAAAATCATTCATACAACTTCACAGGAGTATATTACTAAAACTTAGGAAAATTTAATTTCATGACTTAAAAAAATCATAATTATGTCCAGCAGCTATAATCATGCCTTAAATAACATATCATCAATTGATCCAAAAATACTTTGGAATACTTCCGTAGAGAAAACGTTAATTAAAAACAATGACAAAACAGAAGCGTCTATTATATCGATTAAATATATCGATGCTATTCAGGTATCGATACCTAAATATTTGAACTTGTTCCTAATTCTCTTAAAGATATCAATGACTCGTATAAACAAATCCGTCGGCATTAGCGTCTAATTGCGGGATTAGTTTCGTAACTTATGTATGAATTATATGTTCAAGTGTCATGCGGTACCTCCTTATTTACTTTGAACGTCACGTCGTGAAGTAACTATATTATTTAGCTGGAGATTAAGGCCAAACACGAACAGAAACTAAGTTAATAATTTAATCATAGACTTATTTAATTTTTTGCTAATGTCGTAGATTATTTTTTATGTTCGTCTGCTATTAACAATATTAACTCGTCGAGTACCGGTTTTATAGACACAATTAAAGAACAATGGGTCGCGGTCACCGGTGACCGCTTGGTGTTTGACAGTTTAATAATTAATATTGTTAATCGCCCAAGACCGGCCGGTTCGTTGCATTATCTTAGTTTATTATAGGTAAACTATTTATTATATAATAAACTAAGAAAATGCAACGAACCTTATCCTCCAAAACAAAGAAATAAATCATTTAATCTTTTATTAATATCTTAGAAGGCATCATGTTTCATAGTTTTACATAGATACACAACTTTTGTTCACGACTGTACAGTAGCATGCGCGTAGGATGCGCTGTCCGATACACTCTTATTTGTCGCCATGCTTATAACATAATCACCGACATATATTAAAATGTTGTTTGAAAACTCTAATTAATTAATTACTGAATTTAATTTTAAAAGATAACTTTATTTACAGCTTATCTGTATTTATAAAAATATAATAAATCGACCTCCTCAGAATGTTTCTCACGTGTTCTCGTTCCTAATTAAGTGATATTTATAGAAGTATCTAGTCAATATGTTAACATAATGGTGTTTCTAACGTGTGGTAGTCATACATTAGTATATAGACCCGTAGTTTAGCCACCAGCGCATGCGCCGCGCCCACCGACGTACTCAGTGACGGCGAACGTGAAAAAGTGTGACCCGTTCTTACACATATGAGATCGCTATATAAGACTTTGCGGACCAACTTTGCTCTCATTTCGATTTACGCTTAAGTTTGGCAAATACACTTTAAGTTTTCAACAATTTAATGCGAACATTGCCAAAACATTTATTTATGCAATATTGTTTATAGAGTGCGAATTACAATAACAAAAGAATGAAGTCGGTGAGTAAAATGTTTTTTTTTCAAATGAGAAACATAATATGTTTACCAAATGAAATAATAAAATTAAACATACTTTTTTTCAGGTGATCTTCATCTTCATTGTGTTGGCGTTGCAAAATGCCCTGGCTTATCACGATCCTGATCTAAACTACCATTTAAGCCAGGTTCAGAAAGTGTCCAACTGTGACAACGGATATTCGTACGCTGCGCCTGCGGTGCAGCTCACTACGACCGGCGTCAAGGCTGTTGCACCTGCACCAGCTATCATTTCACAATCCATTGTGTCTGCACCTGCGTACCAGTACTCGGGAAGTTCAGGCTACTCCTCAAGTGGGAGCTCAAGCTACTCCAGCGGTGGAAGCTCAGGTTATTCAGGTGGAATAACGTACCAGTCGGCAGCACCACAAATAACTTATGCAGCACAACCAGCAGCCACTTACCAGACTTCATCTCTTGCTTCCAATTACAACAACTATGCTGCTCAAGGATACACAACGAAGGAAGTCCACGGATACGCAACTTCTGCTGGTCTTTCATCAGCTGCCTCAAGTGGCAAAACTGTGACACCCCTCGCAACATACGCTCAAGCACCAATCATTGCGAAAGTGACTGCAGCTCCATTGATCGCCAAATTCTCCTTATCTCCAGCCAAGACTACATACACACAGAACATACTATCACAGCAAGCTTATTCAACCGGATCATTGGCAAAGGCGTCTCTTAACTCTTACAATAGCATCCAAGCAGGAGGACCAGTAGTCTCACAGGTGTATGCTGCTCCTACTGCTGGATATGCGACATCGCCTGCCTTGAGAGTGCAGCAGTCACAGATCGTCGGAGGGCACTACGCAGCTGTCGCAGCACCTGCTGTAACACAGTACGCCCAGTACAGTCCAGCTCCAGTGGCAGCGTCCGTTAGCTACGCAGCTCCAGTGTCACAATACTCAAGTTCTTCTGTGTCTCACGTGTCGGCTCCATCTTCGAGTTACTTTACCCCAGCGCAGCATGGTGCAGTGGTCAGTCAGTACTCATCCCCGGTAGTGGCACAACACCAGCAATACGCTGCGCCAGTGGTCGCACAGTACTCAGCGCCAGCTATAGTGCAACACTCAGCGCCGGCAGTGGCTCAGTACTCAGCACCGGCAGTGGCTCAATACTCGGCCCCGTCAGTGGCTCATTACTCTACACCAGCAGTAGCATCAGTGCGTCAGTACTCGAGTGCCCCCGTCAGTGTGGCCCACGTCTCGTCGCCCGCCTACACTGCAGTGGCCGCTCCTGCAGTTGCCAAGGTCGCAGCAGCACCCCTCGCCGTCAAGAATGTTCACACTGAATTTTTAGAGAATTATGTAAGTACTACTTTTTAAGATGTTTAATTATAACTGCCAGAATCGCCATATATTAGACCTCTTCGTATCTCTATTTATTTGAATATCTGTGTGTTAATTATGCTTAAACTTATTTTTATAAATTAACTACTAAATTTTTCATTATTTATATTTTTTCGAAAGATCGATAAGATAACTAATAAAAAACAAATATCACGGTCTTTTTAAAGTCCAAACAACAAGTGAAATTACAAAACACAAATATTTTAATAATTAAACAATGAAATTCAATGTCAATTTAAATGAATTAAAATAAACTATTCTTACAAATACTTTGAAGTGGTACAAAATTAACAAACATAAATCTTAACAATGTAAAACATCTTGTTCAACTTAATTGGCAACCACGATCCGTGTAAAAATATTTCAAGTTTCAAGTTGCAAAAATATGCTTAACATATCAGTCATCAAACAATGCACTACCATTGAGTTTTATAATAAAATAGTCCTAAATTACAACTTGTACTTGGATGACCCTAGCCTAGTCGATAGAGGCAAAGAAGTACAAAAATGTTTCCATTACCAAAAATTTTAACGTAAACAATCATTGAAATTAATAAATTATTCATTCGTAGCTTTTTCTAAATCAATCCAGCACTCTTAATTACAGTTTAATAGCCATTAATTTGATGTTTATAGTCCTTCTTTCCGTTTACTGAGTAAATTCTTTACGTTTTTCTTGAATATTGACATAAAGTTTATGTGTGTAACTAATGTGCCTCAGGAGATTGCGGCATGATATGGAATAAGTTACTTCATATCCCTACAACTAATGCAGTGACGTAATCATTTTGATTGGCTGTCGAGTTAGATCCAGGACTGGTTCCACCACATCGACAATCTTGACCGATTACCTGCTCACTCACTCTGCACAAATGTGAGAAATTGTCACGCGTTCACCCGTTCATGTTTACTCTCGTGTTGTGCAACGGTCTACAAACCCACTAATTTTATTTGATTGATTAGGAGTAGGTGGACATCTAATTGCTTCAGTTTTTAATTAACGTAGCGTTACTAAGAAACTGGGTGTCTGATTTGCAGATTGGAATTCATAACATTTATTTAAGTTATGTCATTAGTTTGTCCATTTATGTTAGTGTACGGTAGAATTAATGGTGACTTGTTTGAGGTCAAGGTTGCCCAATGTTGCTGATCGATTTTTTTAAACGTATCTACAATGGGCACTAATGAAAATGTCAAATACATTCTGATGTCCTCTTAATGATATGGTTAGATTAGTTTATGCGTGTCTTAGATATCAAACGATAGATCACAGTGTGATTAGGTCTTGGTCTTAGACTTAACAATAAGTGAAGGTAACTTTAATTTATTGTCCGCGCCACATTAAGTAAACACAAGGACTATGAATTTAATATCTAACTTATTCACAATGCGATTACGTAAACTGACCATTCAGTATTGCAGACAATGTTGAGATACTTTAGCTAAGCTATCTACAGAAATTGTTTCGCAGAAAGGACCAAAACTATATGTAAGTAGGTGGTTCACTACCATTTAAAAGCATATTGGTTGCATACAACATGTATATTATTTTATTTACATATATATAAAACTGAAATCAGATTTCCACCGAAGTCGTGGACGTCAGTCCATTTTAAAAAAGTTAACGCACGTAACCAAAATTGTTATTGTTTAACCGAGGACTTGTGCGTCAGCTGGCTTAAATCAGCAACATTCACTTACATAACAATTAGTGTGAACTCGTCCGATACCATCTGGACCACTTTCACTACCTTCTCGTCCTGCCACCCTCTACTTGTCGAGACGATTGAAGTTGTCAGATGAGAGGCATCATTAATTTTTTTTCCATTTTTAAATACCTACAGTTGATTGGTACTTTATCAAACATTTTATGTCCTAGGTTATTGTTAAGACCTGTTATCTTAATCATAACAAAAAAACAGACCTTTATATCTAACTCAATAAAGCTGACCAATTAAGGTAACTTCACGATCTTGTACCTTATCAACCTTTCTATAACTGCACCAATTAAGGCAATTTTGTTACCTATAACCCTAACACTGTTGTAGATTACGACCTAGTTAATGGGCACTAAAAGTTCATTCAAGACTCGTGCGACCTTTGCGCTTTGTTGCAACTGACATTTCTCACGGCACCATCTAAATTGTGATAACCCTTTGCAGGACGCCCACCCGCGGTATGCTTTCGAATACAGTGTCAACGACCCCCACACCGGTGACATCAAGCAACAAAAAGAAGAGAGAGACGGAGAAGTCGTCAAAGGTAAAGGACATTTGCTTTCACGTTGCATAATAACCACAGTAATGTATTGTGTAGGTACATAATGTGAGGTCATCCAATGATAGGAGGAAAGCAATCAACGAACACTTACTCTTCCCAAAAACCCCTTCTCTATTTTGGTTTAACATTTTCTGCAAACACAACTCAAAGCAACAAAATGCAAATAATATCCTAAATGCATTTACCGCAGCACTATTCATAGGCTCATTAATGCGGCTCGAAGGGCGACGGAAACGCATAACTTAACAAATATTTCTGTTTATTTAGGTCAGTACTCGCTGGTGGAACCCGACGGCTCCGTGCGGACAGTGAACTATGTCGCTGACTGGGAGACTGGCTTCCACGCCGACGTTCGCAACAGCAAAGACAATCAACATTAAAAATACGAATATAATTCGGACAGGCACCACGACCCAGTCGATAACATGCCTTATTTGGTCTCACCACCTGTTATAGCCTAAATTAGTGACCGAAACGGTCCTAGGTAACTTATGATTGTAAATAAATTAGTAAAACGTATCGAATTGGATAAGAACGGAAGCCGATAGCCTTGTTAGGTCAGGTAGGCATGTTGAGCAAAAAATGTGATTTATGTCAGTCAAAAGGAAATTCGGTTAATATTTGCTAAGTTTTTAGTTTCGTAGGTAAGTTAATATTATCATATATGTTTAATGATTAGGTACCACTACTAAATACTCGTTAAATTATGTATGTACTTACATTTCAGACCGAGGTTGTTTGAATCTCAGAATTAGGTACAGCCTAGTCACATCGACAAATCGATTTACTTAATAAATTTAGAATGTTTAAACATATTCGCAGCTTTTTTTATTCACTTAACGTGTAGGTAAAGGTATTTGAAGTGCCATTTAAATTCGATATTTACTATAATACCTAGAAATTACTATTCAAAATGTATTCAAATTGCAACACTACAGGCAACATCCTAAAATACGTATCTCAATATCTTTCATTTTAAACGTCAACTTCTTTCTTTTAACAAAAGAACTTTAAAAAGATAAGCGTACAAGAAGCTCACGCCCTTCACTTGGAACATATATGTGCTCGTTATGCCCCTCTGCCTACGTCTTCGGAGACCAAAAGGCGAGATTGTTAGTGTTCAAAACAGTCATTCTTGTTATTACTTAGGCTTTAAGAATGCCTGTTGAAATGCAACGCCATTCACTTTATTTCCGCGTCATTGTCCTTTCCAAAACACAACTTCACCATCACTGTAGGGATCTCAAACGTTTTCGAATGTAGTACAAAAGTATGTCAATTGATGTAAGTAGTTATAGTTACTATGTTCTCATATTATTATATTCTTCGATTTCATTCGAAAAAATCGTCGACTATTAATAGGTATTTTCTAATTAATCATTTTACAAAATGTATGATTGATCATATCTTAATTTTACTGTTTTAAAATAATTTGTTTCTTTAATTTTCTTCCTTTAAGTTTTGTCCCTTCTTTTTGTCCATTCTGTTCTTTCTTTAACACAATATTTTACAATTTAGGGTCAAAACTAAGTCTGTACAAGAATAACAACATAAATTGCAAAGAAACTTTTTATTGTTGGCTAAAATTTTTATGTAATCATAACATAACATCACGCCTTTTATCCCCGATGGGGAGGGAGGTAGAGGTGCACATTACGGCACTTAATGCCACTGTACAATGTAACACCCACTTTTCACTATTTATGTTATGAGTCCCATGTAATAGGGGGTGAGGCACAATTCCAGACTCCGTGCTACCACTGAGAATCTTTAAAAATCCAGATCCAGTAATACTTTGCCCGACCCGGGAAGCGAACCCGAGACCCCTTGCCCGGCAGTCACACTTGCGACCACTCGACACCACACACTGATATTAAGTAATCGGAGGCTAAAAATGATCGTCATTAGGATTACTATCATTTTATAAGACATTAAAAAAATGTGATTAATATAATATTGTCAGATTTCATCTAAATACGCTATTAACTTGCTATTTAAAATATATGGAAGTGTTTTTTAAATATTTACAATCAATCTTTTAAAGAAAGGAAATATTCTAGGTATTCTTCTGATGATCATTGATTCTGTAAATAAATTAAGAAAGTAGTCATTGGAAAAAAAAACAATGTATTAAACAAAACATAAATCATTTATTGTAACAAAATGTTGTATTTGTAAATAAAAATATTATACAAATTAAATAACATAAAGATTTTAAATTTAAAATAACACCCATTTACTTGATATAAATAAAGAAAAGAGTGTATTCCTTTTTAAAAAGTCGGCAACACACCTGGGACTTGTCTCGTATTGCGGGTGTCCATGGGCGGTGCTGATTGCTTACCGTTAGGAGATCCGTCTGCTATGGCATAAAAAAATTGACTTCATAGTTGAAGCTTATAATTAGTGCTTATCACAGTACCAACTTTCCCTTAAAACTAAATTAAATTGCCATGTTTTATGTCTTTACAAACTTCTTAACATCTTTTCCATTATAATAGCACTTTGGACATGCATAATCCGAGTCAGCTGTTTTATTGGCCTGAAAAAAAAAGATAAATATTCTGATCACAAATGCAATTGAGGGGTTGAGTAAAGGATTATAGGGACTTTTTTTTTAAGGGGGGAAAATCATCGAATGACTGCTCCCGCCTGGGTGAGGCGGAAGGGAGTGTCGGACTCTTACTGAATAATAACCACCCCGTTCCTTCTCCTGCACGTCGAGCCGGAGCCCCGGTTACCCGTTAGGTTCTCCGCGACAAGGATTATAGGGACTATGATACATAAACTTGACTGCAGCATCTCTTACCACCGAGCGAGATAGAGGTCAAGTGTCGGTCCATCAAATAGAAATAAAAATCAGTACAATAAAATATAATCTTACTTAACTATTCACTGTTTATTAATTTAATACATACCACTACACAGTAGTAACAAAATATGTGACTGCAGCCCATAGTGTGTGGTAGGACTGGTGGGTTCTCACAGCACGCACAGATTGTTTGCAAAGTCATTATGGGCATGGTCATTGTGCCAGAGGACTTCACATGTTGTCTCCACCAAACATACTTCAGCAGGCCAGACAGTTTACTTCTCAAGCCAAATATATTTATTAACGATATTGTTGTACCAAGCAACTCCTGAAACATAATAAGTATTAAAAATGTGTTTTATACTCAAGTAGTTTAAATTGATTTTAGTTTAAATTAGAACTTACAATAAAGTTGTGCCATAGCAATTCTCTGGTCCAGGATAAATCGGTTAAATCTTCCCTAGTCCATGCTTCAGCAGACAATTGAATTCCTAATATGTAATCGATGAGTTGTGGATATTTCCCAGTCTGTATGAACCTACAGAAGTTAAATATGTCTGCGATCAATTGAAATGTTTCTAATTTATTTACAATATTCTGGACTTTAGTGTTTGAAGTGAAACTATAAATGGCTCTCTCTCTAAGGTACTTCAATCCAACTGTATAACCAAAGTACCAATACAGTTTACTTCTTGTAAAATAGTCTGTTTTGTAGTTCAATGACAGCATCTGCTGTCCAAATGTACTTTTATGATCATATACTGAATATTTGAAAATCCATGTCCTTATTAAAAGTTCAAGCTCTGGAAGAATTGGCTGAATGTAACGAGGCTGCAAAAAAAGTATTATTAAAATAAAATATCTAGTATAGTAAAACGGGGTGAATAGAATTCGAGGGGTAAATAAATGTTGGGAAAATAGTCTAAGACTTATCCATCCTGTATCTATTCACTTCTCGAATTCTATTCAACCGTTTTACAGTGAGTAAAATATTAAAACAATAGATAGGTAACATTAGTAAATAAAATGAGTACTTATTGATAAGAGAGTAAGATCCACTATTTAAGCTTACCTCTATGTACTTAGTAACTTCAAATAGTAATTGTTTGAAAAGTTCTTCCAATTGACTATCTAGCTGCACAGCATCCAGCTGGGAAAAGAATACAATAAAATTGTAAAAAATAACTAAATAGGAGGATAACTGCTTTAATTTTCAATACACACTAAGTTACAAACATTACATTAATTATTCGGTGAGAATAAAACTTTAGAGCTATAATTACCTGAATTTAAAACATGGAATACCAGCAAAACAAAGTTGGTGGTACTAAATCACAATATAATATTTATGCTAATAAAGTATCCAAAATACTTACTTGAGTTACTCGAGGTATGTAATTTACAGACATTTCAAATCAATCTACTAATATTGGACGTAAGAGAACAAGTATCCAGGTTTGGTAAATCTTGTTTTTCAATTATTTTAATCTTTTTATCACCAAATATTGAAGTTTGAACTCATTCCACAGATTCCACTGCAAGTTTTCATATTCGATAATGTCAAAAATGTCAAAGATGCAGTCACTGTCACTGTCAGATATGATCTGTAGCTTTATAATCATCTTTTAAGTTTTATCAGCATCTATATCAAGTTGTCTCATATTGTAAAATTAACAATCTTGTATTTGTCATAATTTTAAGAAATTTAAGCTAAATATATTTTAAGAAATAGACTTCTTTATTTACGTCACTGATATGATAAAGGTCAACTTAGGTACATAAACAACTTTACTCCACGTCAGAACTGTCAACTGTCATTATTTGCTTCTCTCCTTTATGGAATTATGGATTTGTCATTGCTCGGAAGCCAGCGCGTTGTGCTTATTGATTATACATAAAAAGCATTTAATTTAGGTATCTTATTGAAGGAAACTTACTACCTCGTGAATAGTTATTAAATTATGGATTATTAAAATACGATATATTCAACTAACGACATGGTTGTTTCACCACAAACCCCCGACAACGATTCCCAAAGTGTGCAAACAAAAAGAAACAACATGGCGTCCAAACAATCCTCTGTGGCTGATACTAGAGCAGAGTTAGCGGAATTGGTGAAAAGAAAGGCCGAAGTCGCTGTAAGTGGGCCAAATTATAATAAATATGATGCCTAGATCTTTCTTATGTTTGTCACCCTATGCCATACGGTGAAAAATAATACCACCAAAGAAAATACCTGGCTATGGCCTACGATATTTTTTTTAATTTCATGAAAATATTTTGAGGATGGAGTTTATGGTATGTATTAAAAAATGATTTTACCTTTATAATGTGTACTGATGTTTCATTGTATTACATTAGGAAACCCTTGCCAACTTGGAACGCCAGATATATGCATTTGAAGGATCATATTTAGAAGACACACAGCTTTACGGAAATATCATAAGAGGATGGGACCGATACTTGACCACCAACAAGAGTACAAACTCAAAGGCAGACAAACGAAACAGAAAATTCAAAGAAGCAGAGAGATTGTTTTCAAAATCCAGTATTACATCTATGGCTGTAAGAATCCATTCAATAAATCATTATTTTGTTGTTGTCTCAATGTCTAATTAATGTTAATATTTCTGTTATTCTATTTTAGGCAGTTAGTGGTCTCGTTGATCCTGCTGAAGCTAAAAGTAAGTTTCAATTCTTATATACAAAGTTAGTACCTCATTGTAGTTAGTTATTTACATGTCTAATTTACAAATATTTTTCTTTTTTCAGATGAAAGAAACAGTGAGACTGAATCACAGACAAACGAAGACTCTTCGGACACACAAATCAGTTCAGGACTTAATGTAAGCAGTTTGAACCACACCACAATACATGGTTCTACTGAAAGTATAGCATCTAAACCTTCAGGAAAGCAGCATACCAATGGTGGTATTGAAAAAGTTATTAACCATTCTCAAACAAAGCAAAATTTGACACAAAAGATTGCTTCCTCATCTGGTATGTTGCAAAAAGCATTTGGAAGTGACAGTAAAATGCTGTCAGCTGTAGGGCTCGACAGCAGACCTAGTACACCTAAGGACAAAGACTCTAGTATGAATATGTTGAACAAGGGAGACATGACACCAAACTCATTAAAACACAAGATGTCTGCAACCAGTACAAGTAATAGTAACAGTATGAAGAAAAATAACAACAAAAAAGCGAGACATCGATAATCAGACACACATAAGCGACTTAAATCTGTTTTTATGTGCCTAAAATGTGCGTACTTATCATTTAGACCCAATGTTATCAAAATTAGTTTTATTTCTTTGGTCAATTTGTAAATACATATTGTGTTAAATGTTATAATGAGTTTTATTAAGCCTAGTTTATTTAGTTATTTGATCTTCCAAGAGAACGCAGAATGCTTTGCTTGAATCTTGACTCTGAAATATAGAGAAGAGTTGCATCAAAAGAACTGATGGAGTTCTATAGTATGAATTAGGTATTGGTTGGTTATTCTATGTAATACTTACGCTTCAAAACATTGGGTAAAGCTCTCATGGGGCTGCAGTATCTCAGAACTAAATAATAGAGTATTGGTAACAATGAAATGATGCCAGTGGAGACTAAAAACACCACTTCAGGAGTTCTTCTGACTTTACAGCAATTCAATGTCTTACTCCATATAGACCTTGTTGTATTCATCTGAAAGTTGAAAAACATTAATTATATTCATTCTGTTAATATAAAAGTTAGAACAATAAGTAAATGAGATAACTTACAGAGTCTACAATGTCCATGCAAATACTGTCAACTCCAATAGCATCTGCACTCAATGTTTTATAGTAATTGTCCAGCTTGATGTAAGACTGCATGCAGTTGTCACAAACAACTTTACTGTCATTTGAAGAAGGTACTATGTACTTCATAATACAATTAATTGTTTGATTAAATAACTCATTAAAATGTATTGTTTCATTTGACAACACTGGCTGTCCCGTTTTCCAGTCATAACAGGCTGAAAAGATAAAAGTAATAAAGATTTTTTTCTTTATATACCTACCACTATGGACATTGATTGTAAATAAAGAAACAGTTGTACCTATTCAAAGAGAGATACAGAAATTCACATTCAATAATGTTAAATTCTATGAAGCTAGCTGGCAAAGAACATTATCACTAATCAGTATGACAACCATTGGATAGGGGTGTGTGGGAAGGTGTTTTGAAAAAACATACATACCATTACAATGACCTTTCTCCCAAATACCCATTATATTATCATGATATTCCAAAATTGCATCTAATCTGTCACGTGAAATAAATACTGATTTGCAAGAAGTTCCATTCACTACAGTCGTCAATAATTCTTGATACTTATCATGGAAGTTCGTATAATGTTCTATACAGTTTTTACATATTCTTATAGGCCTAGCATGTAATATTGAGCATTTAGTAAAATTAGACGCGTAATCAGCAAAATCACTTAAAATTTCAGAGCATTTCTCAGGGAATGGTACCATATATCCTATTCCACTTTTTAATCTGGAAAGAAACAAGGTTACTCGAATAAGCAAGTTACGAAAGACAATAGGTAAGTTTATTTACAACTTAGAACTTACAGTAATAAATTGGCATGTCGTGCTTCGTCAGTTGATGTATCCGCTTTTAATAAATTAGTATGTAAAAGTAATAAAGGAAACACCCAATAATAACCCTTCATGTTTGATTTAATCTCAGTTTACATTAAAAAACAAAGACTTCACTGTTTCTGTTTTGTACCGTGTCTGACACTGACACATACATTAGCAACATAGCAACATGTCAACATTGAAAAAGTGTCAAATAAAATGTCAACTAGAGAGGGTCTCTCTAGTTGACATTTTATTTGACACTTTTTGGACCTGGTAATATTGTGAAGCTAGCCAGATGGTCAGATGACCACCTCAGATTTCAGAGTACTAAAGTGCAATCATTAGCATTGCGCTTTATCAGCATTGCTGTTTAGCACTCTTTTATATTAGATTTTTTTTATCATGGTATGTTTGTAGGTTGGTGACATTGCCAGAGTTTCGGGGAGCAAGTGGATGCAGGTGGCGAGTTGTCGTTCAACGTGGAGCCTTTATCCAGCAGTGGACGTCTTTCGGCTGTTAATGATGATGAATGATGTATGTTTGTTGTCCAACGAAACCATTAGATAAAACTGCCTTTATTTGCTCCTTGTCTCATGTATCCAAGGAATTTAATTTTACGGTTTTCTAAGAACTCCGTCCGCACATCCCTAATCGCCCATTGTCAATGTCATTGTTACTGACAAAAAATGACAACTCAAAAGTCAAGTCAGTGTCAGTGAACTGTTGTTGTGAATTGTGAAGGTCGATCTAATGTTATTATTTATGTTTAATTCATTATAATTGGAATTTTTCTGTAATAAATAATATATTTCATCAAATTAACATTGCTAAATGCAGTATTATATTTACCTACACAATTTGCTGTGATTTTTTGGTAGCAAAAGTACATTTTAGGAACATGGAAGCTAATGAACCAACTCCAGAAGCATTACAGAGGAAACTGTACTTTTTACTTGAGCAACTGCAAGATATGGCTCGCGAGTTACCACCGTAAGACGAATAACATTAAAACTATATGATGGACTGGTAAAGCAGTAGGTACTGTAACATCTTATTTTCATTGCAGGAAATACCAAATGAGAGTACCCATTGAACTACTATCTGGATTAGCAAACTGTCTTCTAAACGATACTGTTTTTGAAATAGTTAAAGGACTTATGGAAATTCAACATGTAACTGAAAAACATTTGTTTCAACAAAGACAACAGATTATAAATAAACATGCATGTAAGTATGAATTTATTCTATAGAAGTATGAAACTGTAGAAATTATTGATTATAACTTTAATTCATGCCTCGTTGGCCAAGTGGTTGCAAGTGTGACTGCCAGGCAAGTGGTCTTGGGTTCAATTCCCAGGTCGGCAATGTACTACTGGGTTTTTTAAAATTTTCAGTAGTAGCACGGAGTTTGGAATTGTGCCCAGTATATGCCAATAGGCTCACTCCATAATACATGGGACTCATAACATAATTGGTGAAAAGGGGGTGTTACATTGTACAGTGGCATAATGTGCACCTCTGCCTACCCCTTTGAGGATAAAAGGCGTGATGTTATGTTGTTTAACCCATTTAGCGCCGCCAGTAGTAATTATCAAGTACTGCCGAAATCACAGAGTGTTTATAAATTTATTCTTCAATTACAGTGGAAATTCAAAATATGGTCACCACTACACCAAATCCGGAGCAACAAGAACTTCAGAAAACATTGTTGGCATCAAGACATAAAGAAGAGTTGAGACACACAGATATGAAATTAGTTCTTCAATTAGATCAAAAAGTAAGAATAGTATTTGATTAGAACATTGTCATTTGACAATTGACTTGTATTCATGACACTAATAACTGGCAAAAAGACAAGGCATTATAATATAATTATGTGCTCTTTTCTTCAAAGAAGAAAGGATGTGAAAGGTTGGAAAGGTCGTCCTGTATTTATCTGATCTGGGAGATCTTACTCAGAACTTTGTGTTTCAGTGCTGTGCAAACTATTCATTATTTCAAATTATGTAGTTGACCTAATTGTTTTGACAACTGTTTCAATGCAGAAAGTTCATTTACATATCAATTCCATTTATTTACAGGTGAGCGACCAACAAGTGACTTTAGAAAAAGCTGGAGTGCCAGGCTTCTTTGTCACCAATAAACCAATAGAAGTCAAAGTACAGATGCACCTATTAGATTTTATTCTTAGACTAAGCAATATGGATATTCCACATTGATAAAAAATATTATTACAACTTTTATCCCTTAAAGGGTAGGTATAAGAGCAGTGGCGTATCTGTATTGTTCAGGGCCCGGGGCAAATCATCGGATGGGGCCCCGGTCCCACTAAAAAACAGAGAATTTCCGATAAAAACCTTTGAGCTCCGGGCCCGTGGCATTTGGCCTACTTGCCGCCCTGTCGTTACGCCACTATTTAAGTGCATGTTATGGTATTTAATACCGCCACAATGTACACCCACTTTTCACTATTTATAAGTTCCATGTAATAGGGAATGAGCCTCTTGCCATATACCTAACACAATTCCAGACTCCATGCTACTGGGAAATCTTAAAGAAATCAGTAACAATTTTTTCGTCCTGGGAATCGCCCCTTTGCCAGGTTGTCACACTTGCGATCACTAGACGAATAAGGCTGTCGTTGCTTACACATTAATTTATTGTTATAAATAAAAGTATGTGAAAAGCCCAGAATGGTTTCATTGACGCATCTAACCACATTATATTATGATACGAATTTTGACATGAAATCTTTCCTTGCTTTATGTAGGAACAATAACGTGTCTTTCTTGCCAATCTCCTTATAGTATTAAGTCTCGTTTTTATCTCATTAGTATACTTTGGACTCAAGTAACAATACTCATAAAAGCGACAAATCTCTTGGGATGAAGAAGTCACAAAACTGGGTTCAAAGCCAACATGTAAAAAATGAAAGTATAAAATAAGTAGTACAAGTTTAATAATAATAAACATACGTACAAAGTTACAACATCTATGTTATCTATTGAAATGAAAATAACCAACCATAAATACGAATCTATAATAATTTACAGTTTTGTGCTACATTCATAGAACTATTCATCGTGTCAATTTGGCATATCACAATTTCATGAAATATCGCACACATGTAGGATCAATTCTTGGCCAAACATCTCCGTTGAAGCTGCGAAAGGCTGGCGACAACGGCGTTAGTACCTAATCACATACATTAATTTTAAAAAAGATTCCTAATAAACTATAAGACACCTATTTAAGAATAGAAGCGAAGCTGCCTCTCTTCTAGCATTCAAACCGGATTAATGGACTTAGAATTGAAACCAACAGATGCATCTTGTAAAGTTTATCTTGTCATATTTACTGTCTATTATCACATCAACTTTAAATGTCAGCTAGTTTACTCTAACAAGCTATTTCCTACAAATATAGTTTGTAGCAACAATATCGTATTTTAAAAGCTTGCGAGTCGTACAGAAAAAAGTAAGAATAACGTTAATTGCCTGAACATACTTCAGTATACTTAATAAATGCATTACCTATAAATATTTTTCAAAATGGCGTTAGGTTTAAAGATAGTTTTACTCTCTACGGGAAAAATAAAATATGATAATAATAACAGCGAGTCTTTACAAGGTGCCAAAGTGGTACAGTAGGTATCTTGTTAGTTTTAGGTAAACTTTACCAATCAAAAGTACATTAGACATATCAAAAATATTGGTATTACCTGTAGGATTTCGATTTAATTAATAAATGTATCTAAAAAATAAGAAACCATGAACCTTATTGACTTTTATAACGTGTTAACATTCAAGGTATTAATATTAATTCAAGCAATGTGATTAGAAAGAAAATATTTCAAATTTCTTACAAATTCGTTGAGTACCAACTAGTGGAGCTACTGGTTTACATTCTTGTAATTTCGTTAAATTTTTGGGCGCAATTATAATGTGATGTTACGCCGTGCGTGATTGTTTCTAATTACTCGAACGCAAATCAGTTGTTTCTTTTAAAGTAAAGGTCCAATCGCATTCACGAAGCCACACATTATTCTGTGCGTGTTTCACATTTCCAGCATGACGTTAGTACAATGAAACCTTTACTGTTTTAAGCCGTAAAAGCCGTACTTAAAAACATTATGTATTTCATACAAAACAAAATTATTTGCTAAAATTCGAAAATGCTTTAACATTTGTATTTATCCAACCCCCTTCGCGCTTAGTTATAGTTAGTAAGGTAATTAAAACTTGTAGGCATGACACAAAATAGTAAAAAAACATAAATCTCAATACACTTTCACACTTAGAAACAAAACAAAATTGCACATATAATCTACATAGTTGTCAACATTTTGTGCTAGGTACAATTCATAATTTGTGCATAAATATTCAATTAGATTTCACTACCTAATGTTTACTTTTGATGTTCTGTTGTAAGTTGGACAAAAATTACGTACTTTGTAATAAATACTTAAATTTTGAATTTGACTGATATTTCAAATAAGTATGACTTCTAATGTAACTATTTATTTATTATGTTGATAGATTAAAAACATTTTCATACTATGTCAAAGATTTGAATTGCCTTTTTCAATACTAATTAATTCAAATTTTTTGAACACGAAATAGTAATCGTATGAATTACGTATTTTTATCCAACCCACAACATATAAGATTATTGCACCACGTAAACTTTTACTAATCTATAAACATGATTTTGTAAAAGAGAAATAGAATTTTACGACCTCCAAATGATTTTTTATAAAAATAGAAAATACAGAACGCATCTTCGTTTGTAATAATTCATTTTGGTCTATTTTTAAAACACTACTATAATTTTCGCTTAATTCAGTCCTAATTTTATTTTATTAATAATAATTTAATCGGTTCAATTCCGATAGTAACATGTTTAAAGGTTAGAAACAAGATAATGAGGTAATCTAGACATTAAATTTATCCATTCACTTCCTCAGATTAATGTTATCGTTGTTATAAATTAAGAGATATTATTAACTTTACATAATAACAGATAAAGAGCATTGCGCGGAAAATACAACATATCGAGACGTACGCTTATCGTATCTACACGTGTCAAAAGAATATTTATGTAACAAAAAATAACAATAAATAAACTGAACAGTTACAGTAATACTTGTAACGGACCAGACAATGCAAAGTCGTCAATATTTTTATATCAAAAATTAGCAGCTTCCCTTATGAGGCTTTACAAAATATTTAAAACAATTATCCATACTTTAAAGTACAACTTTAACATTTTTACACACAATACACTCTATGCATCTCATTTTATACTATCTTCAGCCAATCATTAGCTATGTTATGAACAAAACAAGATGGGACATGTATGATCTAGTTTGTTTTTCATTTTTTAATTTAAACCATAGTATACAAGTATTAGGTATAGAATACGTTGTATAAGAACAAATACTGCAACAGGTACATTATTTCTTTTCTGTTCCATAGGAAGATCCTTGACTGATTTTAGACATTCCAATAGATTTTTGAAGAAGAATGAAAACTGAAACAACAATATAATATTTTAGTCACACAAAGCTACAAGCTACTAGAATTACACACAAAATATTTTTATTTCATCCTAATGACATTATGATTTGTGATAAAACCTGTCTTAATTAAAACAAAGAAAATATTTCGGATAATGCTATGCAACACGAAGCTGCAACATTACACTTTGATTACACTTTGAAAGGAATGTGGCATGTAACTCTGCGCGCAACATTGCTTTGCCTGCAACCCTGCTTTCAAAGTTGCGTAGTCATGACTTAAAAACACAATAATATTAATATACTCACATGCTCCAAATATAGCACAGGCTATAGAAAAATATAGAAGTTTTCCACTGAACAGTAGACCAAGCAGATAGTACAACATAGGGGTGAGTGTGACCACGGCCCAGCCGAGGGCGTTCACAAGCGACCAAATAGGAGGGGGCACTGTGAACGACTCCCTTCGTTCAACACCAGATTCTAAGAAGAAATCTCCAGTGTTGAAGAAAGAATCTTGCATTTTATCCTGAAAATAAATAATGATTATTACTTAGACATATACTTTATGCAGGTATTATTAAAATAATGGTAAGTCATTCTAATTTCTATAGTAGTATGTAGCATGAAAAAGGTACCTAAGACCGTATCTAATACAGCATAAAATTGTTCATTAATTACTTTACGCTAACTCAATCGGTAACCGTCAATACTCAGTCCCGTATTACGTTTTCCTTAACTGTACTCTCCATACAGTTTAGGTACCTACGAAATCCTTTATTAAAAATAAACATGTAATCATCTCATCAAATATTTTGGTGCAGGTCTCAAAGACGAGCACGCATACAGTTCGTATCACTCATTACTGTTAAGACGTCATTGCCAATTAAACCTTATGCCATTGTTCATAAGAACCACATAACTTTGCTTACGATATGCAACTTATCTTAACATAACATAATTTATCTTAATTAGTTAACAAGTCATACACCTGTTACACTATATGTTATATAAATGAGGTTTTATTACACCGATATCTATTGCAGTTATCAGGTGGCTAGTTATCTGCTTATATTGTACATATTTGTGTCTCCTTCTTCCCCTAAAATTTTAATTAGGTTGGTTTGTGTAACTGGCCACAAACGATGTCAATGACATCAAAACTTTTATCACAAGTTAAATAAGTAACGAACAGCTGACCAAGATAACTGCGCAATATTTCTTTCATAGAAATATAATTCTTACTTCGGATCACTGATAATATAAAGTATAAATGGTTACTTAAGAGCAAAATAAATGTCTTTACGTATTAATTTGTTCCTGCTCGACATTTGCATATACAGGTAGCGTCAAATAAAGTGACGCTGCGGAAATAAAACAAAAAACTCCAAGGTGAAACTTATAAAATTTTGCATGTTTATCACATAACAGTTTTAATATAGCTATCTTTCTAGTTATCGTATTCGGAAAATCGTGTATTTATAGCTGTTTCATATAAATCTAAAGATGAAAAATAAACAGTTTGCATTTAGATGGCAAACTCGTTACGGAAATGGTTTATTACGGTAGTTAAAGGCCGGATCGGCCACTGACTTGTGCACATTAGATGTTGGTCCGTGATGGTCCATTCGCATTATGCACTAGGTCTGAATACTAAATTCCGTTCGTTATTTTTCACAATAGAAATGTGACATTTGAATAGAGCTAACGAATCGTACAAGATGTTTCAGAATAGTTCTATGGAACATAGTCTGCATTTCGTCAGTGATTTATTTTGCACATTAGCCTTGAATAATTATTGTAGTTAGGACGCACAAGCGCACCCTATTCACATCCATTTCCGTAATTCTGCGTTTTACAACCTCCTTCCGTACGTTTACGTCGGTAAACAAAATTAACATCTTCCTGTACGTAAAGCTGCGCAACATGGGCAACTTATAAAAAAAATATAAATTAAAAATTTCGCAGAACTGTACTTTGAGTTTATGGCCACGGCCACGTTATCATACAGTGTGTGATAAGTGGATAGCAAACTGACAAAAAATGTACGATTGTATTATAATAACCTTAGCACTAGCCAGACAATTCAAGGTTCAATTTTCGTTATGATATTTACGAACATAATATTAATCTGATCTAAGAACCGTCCTCTAGTTTGAGTTATATCTAATCTGTTTTATATCTTTTGTGAAAAATCAGTTCCGTGACTGATTCACTAACCGTTCTGCAAAGGTACTATAGAGTTAGACTAAATGAGTGCAACTTTAGACACTACTATCCACTATCCACTGCAAGTAGGTAGAAATCTCTTTAGTGACAGTGATCCATCTCGACTAGACAACCCTGGCGATGACGAATCGTGGGCATTCGGCACAAAACCATTCGCCTTTTTAGGTCGGGTTTAGTATGAAAAAAAGACCCTGTTATTCCCCAAAAGTGTAGGTGTATCTAAATCCACGCCCTATACAGTGTACCTACACTTCACCAACCTCGTTAATCATGTTATTAGTCTAGCGGATGGAAATAACTATTACACATTGAAATGTATTAGTTTCGTTGATGTAAATACATTTTGCCTAATTTTTGTTATTTTTTCCCTAAATAAAGGGCAAACAAAAATGAAAACAGATCATCAAAAACAGAGAAAGGACAAAATCGTAATGATCCAAAATAATTTGTATGACTTACCTTTACAACAAAGAGTTCATGAAGCCATTTAGCTGCTTCACCTTCGTCTTCAGGCACTTTCTCGACCGGTATCCGCTCGATGTACAAATGAGCGTTGACCGGCTTGCCGTACAACAAACTTGTTAATGTAGGCGGAGTCTGAAAATTAAATTAATTATTGAAGAAACATAATGACATTGTAATAAAAATGTTTTAAATTACGGAGTCGGGTCCGTACTCCGTAGTCCGTACGTCCGTCGGGTCGAGACTATGAGTCGGAGGTTAACATATGCTCGAAATCAGTTGTATTGTGGTTTCTTAGGAGAGAGTAGAGAAGAACTAAGAGTGAATATCCTAAAACGCAAGCTGGAATCGTCTACTTCTGAACAATGCCCTTCCCTTCAATCCCCTCAATTGAAGGAACTAGCAGGTTCGCAGTTCGAAAATTTTGTAGGCTCTGATGCCCATCATTTTGTTTGCCTTCGTTTTTGTTGTCCGATGTTCCTACGAGCTTGAAACTTTTCGAATATAATGTAAAATCCCACTTTATTCTAATATTATCATAATAATAATTTAGCACGTGAGTAATAATTATGAATCATGAGTTTATCGATCTGCTAATTCTTATATCCGCGATCATCCCGTCACGGACGTGTAAAGTACAAAACTTATTTTTATTTATAAGTCTCCTAATTAACCGATAACATATCATAGCGATGTAATATTGAATAACCATGTGTGTCGCCGGTGTTGGCTTTAGCTAGAGTGTACTAACAACTTGACTGGCCAAGGTTTTACACATAGTAACTACGTACCTACGAGTACATAGGTAGGTACTATCGATAGCGATTGTTGACCTTTACTTAACATCGAAAATTAGATGTAGAGTCGCTAATTATTATTTTATAATGCCTAAAAATATGTGTGGCTATACAGTACTTATCTAAGTTCAATGTGCATTCATATCACCTTTGAAATTTGGCCCACATCTGGGAATTAATCAATATTTATGTAACAATAAATGATTAATCGATCACCGTAATCAAATTAACAATAAATAAAGCGACTACCTACATATCACGAAAATCCTGAAATTTATAGTTATAATTAGGGCTTTATCGTTAATTGACAGTATCTTAATTAAACAATAACGCCGCAATATTACATGATAATAGTACAATAATAGTAGCATTATCTGTGGTACAATTGAGACGTTCTTAATGAGTCTGTGGTAGACAAAACATTATTTAACCATTGATCGGAACCAATCAGGTTACGTAACTGACTAATTTACTAGTCTTGGTAAGCAATAATAACTTTTTTACTGGATACAATTTTTCTAGAAGACAATAGAAGGCTATAGTTACTATGTTAGATAGATAGACTAGCAAAACATCGCACTTTGTGCGTAAGTACAAGATTGACACATTACGCAAATAAAAACTTCGCAGTTTGTTTTGTACGATTAGAAAAACGCCACTTTTAACACCATTTGTCCTGTCGAATGTATTGTTGTAACACGAAATCTATTCGTAAAGATTTATAAGTCACATAATTACGTTGTAAGGTCACACGTATCATGTTTCCCCATCGAATTGGCGAACCTCACGCAAGGCGAAAACACTTCCGCGCAATCCATACTTTAATTAAGAATTAGCATTTGTCAAAAATATTATTGATTAGCAAATAAATTAATTCTCAATCATAACATACTATTTTTATGTGACTAAATATTTATGGCATTTTAATTATTTAATCTTATGGCGAATAGTTATGATGATAGGGATGTTGAAGTAACGAAATCGTATTTAGACTGAAACTTAGATTGAATTTTAACATATAGTCACTTGGACCCTAAAACTGCGACCGGTCTAGCAGCATTCTCAAAATTTTCGGATAATCGTGATTCTAGTCGCCTTAAGTGTAGAGATGTTACTATTACGTTGGCCCTCTAAAGAGGAATGTTTTTCTTCAGCAATTGACGTATTCCGATTAAAATGATGCTGTCATGAAATTTTTATATCTCACCTTACTATCCTTTTCGAAGGCTAATTGTATGTTATAAATAACAGGTATTTTGCCTCTGAAGAACTGTAAGCTAGTTGTGAAACCTCTGGTGCGAGGCGTCAAGTGATGTTTAAGTAGAGGCAAGTTCTTCTCTTTCGCAAAGTTTAATGATGCTTCGTGCTTCTTCTTTGTATACCGGGTTCCTTCAGGTGTCATTAGGAGCTAGAATCAAATTAAGGAATGAATATTGAAACTGATGTTTAAAAGGGTACAGAATAAAAGGTGTACATTTTATTTCCTGAAGGTGAAGGCTAGCGGCGGTAATATTGAATTTAACACCCGCCAGTTTTCGCTAGTTATGTTATCCAGACTCATATAACAGGGGGTTGAACAGAGATTGCAATTTCGTACCCCGGGCTGATACTAAGACTTTCGACCCTGGAATTGATCTCGAGTTTCCTAACTTAATCGTCAGTTGTTTCGAACCATTCTACCCACGAGGTAGATAGGATATATTCAAGGGAAATTCCATTGCTTGACAAGTGCACATATACAGATAACTACGAGTTACCGTAGCCGTAGCGAAGAATAAATAATACAAACGCTGCTACGTATGTATAAATAATTAACCAGTAGAGCAACTCGCGGTGGACTGTTTACTTTGCATCGTAAACTGCGACATACTCATTTACGAAAGAAAATCTAATAGCAAGTCTGCATGATGTAAAGTTTGTCAAAAGTTACGTTTGTGCTAGTGCTAGGTTACAAAAAGTAGCAAGAACATAACATAACATCACGGCTTTTATCCTCGAAGGGGTAAGCAGAGGTGCACATTATGCCACTGTACAATGTAACACCCACTTTTCATGTAATAGGGGGTGAGCCTATTGCTATATACCGGGCACAATTCCAGACTCCTTGCTACTACTTAGATTTTTTTTAAACCCAGTATTATTATTATGCCCGACCCGGGAATCGAACCCGAGACCCCTTGCCCGGCAGTCGCACTTGCGACCACTCGGGCAATGAGCAAAAAGTAGCAACAACATTCTAGAAAATGAAATAGAACATTTTACGTTACTCACAATAATTATGTAACAATAAAAAGATTACAGGCTTGATTAGGTTTATAGTTTATCAGTAGGTACACTTTTATTATTCAGGATTAACTCACCCAAACGGGATCCGGATAGTCACATAATTCTGATATCTGATGTTTTATGGTCTCCTTATCTTTTTCAAAAGACCTTTCTAGAAATACAAATTCGGAGAATTTCCACATCCAACCGATCGGAGGTAAGTATTGGATGGATTTTTTCGCATAAGCCTTACAATTCTGAAACAAAGATTTGAATTTGAATAAACAATGCGTAATTTATTTTAAAAAAGTCGCTTTAGTTGGCTAATTGGAAGCAGTGTGTGAAAATAAAAATATAGTTTAGATGATGAACTTGTGACATATAATTAAGTGATAGATTTATAGGAGAGGTAGCTCTAACCTACGGCTTTGTACGCGTGACAAAAAAAAACGTAGCCTATATCACTTATTTCAGCCTCCCAAGGCGACTCTCATCTCAAGGCGACAATGCTTTTACAATTTCCATAAAAGTCATGCCGAAGTCAAGACACGTTCATGAACTTCGCGTTTGAATATTTATACTAATTCATTGAAGCTGAAAAATTTGTTTGTTTGGTTGAACGTGATAATCTGTCTAATATTCACATCATGCATCGTTTTGCATCTGATTTAACCTTATTTATTCTTCAGGAAGATTATGAACAGTGCACGTATAATCTAACATTATGAAATGAGGCGAGATGATAAAGAACTAAATAGTGTACACTGTACACTGATTAAAAAACTGACGACGGCACATTTGACAGAGAAGTAATAACCGTTGGAGTTGATGGTTTCTGGAATGGAGTCTCCACTACATGGTCTAGTCTACACACTCACTCTAGTCTCTACTATTCACGTGGAGTGAAGATATAATATTTGCAAAGTTGTTGGCGGGGTCAGCTGCATGATGATTTGAAGAGCTAAAAATCAACCTATTGGAAAATATTTTGCCCAGTAAATAGTCGAGAATTATGTCAAATCAATCAACATCAAAAGGCAATCAGCTGATCAAATTCCAATTATAATCTGATGTCGCCATCCTCTTAGTGTGACTAACAAGCTATTAATAATAATATAGATTATCAAATAAATAAAACACGACGAGTATGAATACAAATAAAGACGATATGTATTAATAATAAATTTATGAATTGAAATTCGCATTTCATTTTTAGAAAAATTAACACGATTGGCCTAAATTATATGGATAACGCAGTATCCGCAGTATCCGATTTTTTATATTTTTAAGTGACTTCAAAAAAAAAGAGCAAGTTCGCAAGGTTTCACCTGTATACATATGTATGTATACAGGTACATGATGATGTATGTTTGTCTCCGATAATCTCGAGATTCGCTGAACCGATTTTCATGCGGTTTTCAGAAGCGTTTGTTACACTTAGGAAAAGATTTACTTACCTATACTCATTAACGGATTTCAAAAAAAGGGGGTGTTAAAGTCCAGTTTCTAAACGTAGTTTATAATTATTTTAAAAGTTTATAATAAATTATAAGATTGACGTTAAATAAACGTAGCAAATGTTTCTTATTTATGACATAAAAAGTATACAACTTTATGTATTTCAATAATAATATGTAGTTACATTGTTGTTTCGTTCCCTATTTATTTATGGTAATGTGTGCATGTAGTGTGTATTTTACATTATCATAAAACTCATACATAATTCGTCAATCGTCGACAAAGGTACGACTGTTGACAAATAATAAGTCACCATGACTTTATAGGTTGTTAACTTATTAATCTTGATAAGTATTCGATGTTTACGATGTGATATATTTTAATTAAATTCCCTACAAATTATTATTAATGTATTTAAATTAATGATCAAGTATAAATTGGACTGTAATAAAGATTAAAAATCGAGACATATTTTTTCAATAGTCAGAAACAATAAGGTAAGGTATAAATAATTGTTGTAATGAAGTACACAAGTACCTAACTACTATCTTACAACTGATTGTAATGTCTTATTATTTCAGAGTTCAGACATAATATCTTACAATGGCAGCATCGATAATATACAATATGTTTAATTTAATTCTCCATACATTTTATCAATATGGATATGAACGTTTCTTTGTTTAGAGGACCTTGCTGATCATCGAGCGATGACCGACAGCGGCCGATGCGACGCTTCACTCGTGTCGTCTTTGTGTTTAGATACTATAATAATTACAATCAAACAAGCTTTGAACCAGGATATAAATGTTTATATGAATTATTTAAATTATTGGATGGATTATTTTAGGCTCGTTTCCGTCTGCGAAATATGCGTAGGTAGTAAAAAATTGAGAATTCTTAATCACTACATAATAATATAAAACAAAGTCGCTATCCGCAGTCTGTCTATCCTTGTATGCTTAGATCTTTAAAACGACGCAACGGATATTGATGCGGTTTTTTTAATAGATAGAGTGATTCTAAAGGAAGGTTTATACGTATAACTACATAATATAAAACAAAGTCGCTATCCGCAGTCTGTCTGTCCTTATGTATGCTTAGATCTTTAAAACAACGCAAAGTATTTTGATGCGGTTTTTTTAATAGTGATTTTAACTAAAGGAAGATTTATACGTATAATACATGCATATTCCACCCGTGCAAAGACGGGGCGGGTCGCTAGTATTATTATATTGTTAAATTGGATTCTAGTACCTTAATGTACTTAAAAGAAAAAGATATACTATAAATATTAGGAACATTCTGTGCCACACTATGGGATCACGAAAGGTCATGATATCACTTCCAAAATAAATCATATAGGTACTGTTCTATTAACCTTGGAAACCATATAATGACATAACACTTGTTGCAGTTAAGTTGTGAGTTTGATGTTGTAACCAACAGGTTTGTATTACGAGGTGTTTAAAGGAGGAAGTTAAAAACGTACATAGTATTTTAGAATATTATGTTACTCTATCTCGGTTTATGTCTTCCATGAGATTTCATAATCTTGCTTGAGTTTATGTACTGTATTTTACATTGAGATAGTTAGATTTTTTAGGGAAACACAATACCTATTTTTAGCTATAGGTAGTCTTTAATGTACAGAGAAGTGATATAAAAACTTTTGAAAAACGATAAGTATGGATGGATGGAATTCGGGTCATTGTAGCATACTTATTTATAACTTTATAGGTACCTACTTTATTGTTATGTTTCTTATTATTTGTTATTGTGGTTTTATAAATGATGACTAGGATAAGTAGATTCGGTGTGCCATTTAGCTAGTCATGTCTTTGTGAGATTCTTAAAAAAATATTTAAAGGCCTTTGTGTTTGAGTAATGCTTGTTTAGCATAAAAATAGTTACAATCTGTTAGTACACATTCGCAGTTTCTATAATTCTATGGAAGGAAGACTGAAATACACATTGGTAGGTAGTGGTGTGATATACTACTAATAACTATTATAAATGCTAAAGTTAGTTTGTTTGTTTGTTAGTTAGTCGAAATTTGGAACAGGGGTAGAATATAATAGTCTGGAATAACACACTTGTGATAAATAATAAAGTAACTACGAACATAATTAACTCGACGAGAAAAATTTGGACTAGATATTACGTTAAATTCTACATGGTAATTAACTACTTATACAAAATTAATTTTGGAAAACAGGATTTCGATAATTTAATTAGTCATAAGCAAGATATGTTTTCTACCTACATTTTCTGAACCAGTGAAAGAGTTGGTTTCAAATGTAGCCAATGTTATGACCTCTGTGACCTTTCAAATTACATACTCGGGAGTTGATAAGGCGTACGGACAAAACGCCGTTCTCCTCTTATCAAAATCGGTTTAGTGGTAGCAACGGCGTATGCTAAACTTGATTGATTCGGTTCCGTGATGGGGTATGAGTTTCATTTGGTTGCTTCGCATATTTCGATTACGAAAATTTCTAGTAAATAGCAAAGTAAGATCGTATACTTATTGTTGTCGCTATAGGAATAGCAAATGATCACCCTTATTACATGGAACTAATGCGTAACTAGTGAAAACTCGTGAAAAGCCTACCTTTAACTTTTAGTTCGTGGCGTAGCTTTATGATATTATAATAGTTTAGAGGTAATCTAGTACAACTATATGACACTGATGTATTAGTGTTTAATCGAATTGAAACATCGTTAATAAAATCGACAATAAATAGCGCCCGAGAAAATTAACAGTCTCTAAAGTGTTAACGAATTCTGAAAGCGATCTTCGATAAAATAACTACATAGGTACCTATTTCATTACATTCATATTGCAACAGTATGACCACCGGCGGCGGTTAAAAAGTGGTTAATTAACACGCTACAGGAGGAATGTTCATTTATTTTATGTAAGTAAGTATGCTTTATGGAAGTAAGCTCATTATTTGTCAACAGTTAAGGTTTTTAAATTATAAATGCTAGTTTTTCATCGTGACAGAAAAATATCTGAATATTTAGAGACCACTTACACAAGTTCTCTAAGTATTGTGTTTTTTCTGTACTATTTTACTGAGAGATAGTTTTAAACTTTTTTGTTAATGGCCCAAAGTCCATTTTGACAGTATACAACGAATGTATACTGTGAATTGGTACTTATTACTAATAAGATGATTGGTAGACCAACTACATAAGTGCAGCATATTTTAAATATGTGTAGTTTAAAAACAGGACTTAAATAAAAACATATAAAAATACTCACTCCCAGAACTCCTATAGTATTGCAGAAATGCCATCCCATGAGCCAATCTATTTCATAACTGTGGTTCATTATAAGATATCCGTGTTCTTTGCCATAATATTTTTCATATTCATCCTTTTTAATGTAAATAATAAGCTTTGAATTTGACCACCATTCTGACATAAACACTAATTCTGAAAAAGAATGCAATTATTAAATATTTGAGTAATAAAATTTTAATACTTAATGCATATAAGGTAGACTTAATGCCATGCAATTAAGAATATTAATTAAATAAACATTAATGAATGTAAAGATCTCTTTAGAGGAATGGAAACATTATAATAAAAGAAATGTTTTAGTACTTACGACTGTAAAATGAGTATGCCAGATAATAATTTATCTTTCTGTACAAAGATTTATTGAACGGCCTGAGTCCAAAGTATAAAATAGCTTGTATAAAGGTCAGAATCAAGCCAGATGTGAAGTAAGATATAGCAAAACACAGATGGACAATTGTGGATTGCTTTAAAATGCTTAAGCTTATCATCTTGAATGTGTCACCTTATTCCTGCAGTCATGAAATCTAAAACAAAAATGAAATTTTTTAATGAAATGAGTGCTATTTTATTTTAAGTAATAACCAAATTATGATATTCGGTAAATACAATCTCAAGTATTATATTATAAATATTGAGTATTTTTTATTTTAATAATAATATAATATACAGAGTCAAAAGACTGTTGAAGTTTACATCTACTGATGACAAAATAAATAAATTTTATTATGTAATGAAGATGTCAAGAAGAACATTTTAACATACAATACAATAAATACGCACTTTGATTGATAAAGCAATTGAAGAATTATGAACAATTTGTGAATAAATAAACTCAAGTCCTTGGACTAAGTACTCAGTTCATACATAAATATACCGTGATTGTATTTCAATCAGCACATGGTTCACGAGCACATGATTTTTGCGGTTACATAGAATTAATATTGTCGATATTATTCTTTGAAATAATAATACAATTAAATTTATAAATTTAGAATAATAATTTAAAAACTATTCTCATATTGTCGCAATGACAGAATAAGTCAGATGGATTACAAATTGGAAAGCGGCATTTTGTTTATTCAATCCACTCAATACAATGTTGATTTACCTACCATGTCAATTCCTTCTTCTTTTTTGTTATAAACGCCGGAGAGGTTCACACCACACAGTACGGTTAAAAACAAATAAGAACAAAATCGTGCCTAATCTACTCGAACACCGCTATTTTTGATAGTGAAGTGAAGTGATGTGAAATATTGAAGTGAATAAATGAACATGAACTGATTTTGAATGTGAACTATTGAAATATAGAGAACGAAATGAATGACAAACTAAAGCCCAAAAAGTACATATTTTCATTCTTTCAGGAAAATCACTGAATGAATGAAATTATTGACAGTATAGAGCACAGAATCCATACAGAATCAGAGAATCTTTCATTGTCTATGCTAGTAGTGTTGTAACAAGGAATTTAATATTGAAAGTCGATTCGTTATTAATCACCACTATACACCACCAATAGCAATCAGTAGCATGTATGTGCTGTAACCATGCTGTAACTACTATTATAACGCCCGTGTTACTTCTGCTAGACGACTAACAGCAATTTTATGAGAATTCCACAACAAAATCACTCTCGACTTACTTTGACAGTTGACTTGACTCTAATCCTGTCTAGTCTATGTCTGATAGTGATATAACCTAAAAAAATAAGTTTGTTTACATAAAATTTTACAGTCATAAAAATTATTCTTTACTTTGAGTAAGATTTTAAATAATGAATAACAAATACAGCAACAGCAATGCACTGATAAATGATGATAGGTCACAAGGTTCAATTTAAATGATTTTTTTTTAATACGGCACTTATAAAATTCTTACTTATTTTATAAATAATGAAGATTACGTAATTATTGTCTTTACAAAACTTAAAAATGATTTGTTTTAATAAACATTTGAAAAGGATAGCGGTGCAGGCGTACAATTATAGAAATATTAGTTATTCCCCAAATTCTGTTGTACTTGGAATAGAAACTTCTTGTGATGACACTGGCTGTGCAGTTGTAGATAGCACAGGTTCTATACTGGGAGAGTCTTTGTATTCGCAAACTGCTTTACATATAAGATACGGTGGCGTGAACCCCGTTTTTGCACATGAGTTACACAGAAATAATATAGAAAGTGCTGTATCAGATGCCCTTCGAAATGCAGGGAAAAACATTAAAGATATAGATGCTATTGCAGTAACTACTAGACCAGGCTTGCTTTTAAGCCTACAAGTTGGAGCAAAATATGCTAGGTACCTGTGTAGAATACACAATAAACCTATGATACCTATTCATCACATGGAGGCTCATGCTTTAGTAGCAAGAATGTATCATAAGGTCCAGTTTCCATTCTTAGTCCTACTTATATCTGGTGGCCACTGTTTACTGGCACTAGTTAAAGATGTAGATAATTTTGAGTTGCTTGGAAAGAGCATAGATAATGCTCCTGGGGAAGTTCTTGACAAAGTTGCTAGAAGAATGAAATTGAGAAATAAACCTGAATATTCTAAAATATCTGGAGGACAAGCAATAGAGTTGGCAGCACAGAGGTCTACAAACCTAAGTCAGTTTGAATTCCCTCTTCCTTTGGCCAAATATAGAGACTGCAATTTTAGTTTTAGTGGCCTAAAAGATTCTACCATAAGAAAACTTGAAGAAAGAGAAATGGAGCATAATGTGATGGGTGATGAATTAATACCAGAAGTATATGACCTTTGTGCAGCATTCCAGCTTGCTGTTGCAGAGCATATAGCTCATAGAACTCACAGAGCTATGCTTTACTGTGAAAAATATAAATTGATAGATCCTAAAAACAGAGTTGTTGTAGTGTCAGGTGGAGTTGCTTGTAATAATTTCATATTTAAATCTATTGAACATGTTGGAAGTGAAATGGGCTACAAAACATATCGTCCACCTCACAATGTTTGCACAGACAATGGTGTTATGATAGCTTGGAATGGAATTGAGAAACTAAGAAAACAGATTGATATTAGGACAGACTTCAGTCTCAAAGAAGTAGAGCCTGAAGCACCTTTAGGTAAAGATTCAATAAATAAAGTTGAAACTGCTAATATCAAAACAAGAGTAACAAGATTAAAAAAACTGTACAACTATTTTTATTTTGTTTTATTTATACCTCAAGGCATGGCTTACGTGTTATGAACTTATGTTCATAATTTTATGATTATGAATAAGAATAAATAAAGAAACCTATTTAGTAACAATAATTTATTGACAGTTTACATAAAACTAATTTGTTTGCTGGTAATCATGCATGCTGATAAAGAATTCCCATTTGTCTACTTGCCGGCAGCATTCAGATCTGAAAATCACGAATTCACCATTAGTATATCATATCAACACTAAAAAGACCTATGACAGGAAAAATGGCAAAAACAAAACAAACACAAAACTAAAACAGTTTCATTATGCATGGAATAAAACAAAATCAAATGCAGTTAAACTATTCATTTGTTAGTGTCATCTTCACACACACTTGCTGCGATCAAATACTAAACTAAATCACTAAAATTCTATAGATTAGTTTTTATGTTAGATCAATTCCATTTAAAACAGAATTGGATGGACAAACACTGTAACTTTGGTTGTTTTGTAAGACAAACCTAATCAGTTCATCCACTTAGTCCTTTTCATCTGAAAAATTAATTGATAATGGTTTTACACACCTACAAAATATTTAGTAAGGCAAGAGCTGCTTATCATCAGCTGTTCATGTTGACTAACTAAAACTATGTGCTTAGATATCAGAATAATAAAGTTTCAATTTATAACTAGAGGCATCTGTACTTGTACTAAGGAACCTTAATTTAGTAATTTATAGGATTTTCCTAAATTGATACATACGTGCTGGCCTGCCATTAGCCCATGGAGTAATGCGGACATGGGAATCATCACGCTTCAGAGCTTCAGCGCGCAACTCAGGTTTCAAGGATCGCCGCAGGATCTTAGCAGCGATGTTCGAGTAGTTTATGTAACTAGAATAACATAACCTTCATTGTATCTCATTCATCAGTAAACCCTATTAGAATCAATACAATTATGTCTTTAAAGCACTTACTTAAGACCGGCTTGTCTCCAGGCACTCATTTTGTGTTTTTTTGCTAAGTTTTACAACTTGCAAAGTAGTGTCCTGCGAATCCGAAGGAAAAATCGAATTTCGAATAGGTCGGATTGAAATGACGTAACATTCAATGGCAGTATTGGATTGGCACTTTGGCAGTGTAGTGTAGTGTTGTGCATCTTATTTTAGTTATGGCAATTGTTATTTGAGGAACAATTTGTATTGGTTTCAGGCAATCACTATTTATTTTCAATGGAATATTTAAATTTACATACATACATCACCTCACGCCTGTTCCCCATGGGGGTAGGCAGTCGCTTTCTCAATAGTCTTCAGTATTTAAATGCATGCTCGTCGGTTAAGGGTACTTTTAATTTGGCGCTTCTTTATTTTTTTTAAGTACTATAAACGAAGATATTGAGGATAATATTTTATAATAATTATAATGCTTTGACAATTCAAATATTTAATATTGATTCAATAATCATCAACCAATCTGCTACATTTTATTTAGTCGATTATATTAATCGATTATTAGTTTAACGTCAAACTGAATTATTTTACTAGGTAACCCTACTAATTGCTTTTAATCACTTTTTTTGCTCATTCAATGGTTCAATCTGGTATCCCTAGATTTGCTTTGCATGCATGGTGAAAAATAGTAAAAATGTTGAGTAAACCAAAATAAAAAAATACAAATTCAATTCACTATTTTTCAAGAAATTCTTTTCTACTTCGGTGCCTTTCATCAGTTTTGAACCTTTCTAATAAGGTAAGTCGTTTAATTGGATAAGCAAACTGAAACAGCAGTATTTGAACTTTCACTTGAAAAAAAATTGAGTTGGCATGAATTGATAGGTACAATCCACGTTATCTGTGTAATTATTTTAAATGTGGTGACATGCTAGTAATATTCCGTTGTTGACAATATAAAATACCTCTTCAGAAGATCATGGTAACATTTATTCCTGGAATAACATAAATATTGTAAGGCAAATAGTCCAACTGGATTTCTTGCACTCTTTTAATCTAATATGTTTGTATACTTGCAGTAATTCAATAATAAGATGGATGCTGCTGATCGTCTTCTAAACAATGAGAGACTGGGGGCACATAATTTAGAAGAGGATCAATTATTGAAGAAGTCACAGCCTGGAGTGAAGAGTGACTTAGTAAATGAGTGTAAAGTATTTATTAAGGCAGAGGATGGCAGTGGAGATGGACAAGTGAATACTTTTGCAGCTATGATACCAAAACAGTCAGGTAAGTAATGGTTCTTTCATATCATATTAACTGTTTACTAGAAACGTAAGGACAAACAACCTATATACAAAACTATGAGACATAATCATTATGTTTCTTGGTTTATTCATGTAACTGTTTGAGTTGACAAAGAACTCACTAGTTTCAAGCCATACTAGAGGCAAATTTTCATGAGCAGCATTCCCCAACACACAACGAGGCAACTGTCACGCTACTACTCTCTTTAGTATGTCTCACGAAATATGTAGGCTGATGACTGATGATTATTTTAACTTGTATATCCCCAACTGCTCCCCACTAACTATATTATAGACCTTATTTCCGATGTTTAGAGACTACTTTTGTATTAACAAATTTAGGGAATGATTTTCAACAGGTTAATTTGTTGTTAAACACTTATATCCAAATACTCAAACGCCTTAAGTATAGTTCTGTCAGTACAAATACTTTGTAAAATGACATAATTGGCACAATACTTAAGTAGTACTTAAAATTGAGTAGCCTTTCAGTATTAGGATGTTAGCCCCACTCTTTACTAACATTCATTGTCATCATCTCAAGCCTTTTTCAAGCAATTTAATGTAGGCTTCCTTCTAATCTTTGGGTTCTTAGTATGCAATTTTGTTCCGCTACCTCTGGGCGAATTTGAAAATTGTTCTTTAATGTTAGTAGTAATTAAGATTAACATCATTTATGGCTTTAATGTCATTTTAATTGTTCAAGATGGATAAAAGTATTTTCTTTCTAATGTGAAAGTAATTAATAAAGTTACATCATTAGTTAGACCATTTAATTAATAATGATTAATAGGAATACTAGGTATCCATGTACAATATGTAACTCTTGTACTCAACATGTTGAACTTCAGTTTCAGATACACCTAATTTTGCCACTTCAACACCAGACCCAAAAAAGGAAACCCCATCTGATGATCATGTTATTGTTGATTCTAATCCGGAATGTGATATGGAGGATGGTAAGTCATGATTTTATTATAGCTTACTATTCTCGCAATCCCACATAACATAAATTCAACTGTCATCTTTGTCCCAAGGAGGTTGCAGACCATAGAGTACTACTTACTTACACATATTATGTTATCGATTTTAACATACACCTTACATCCACCTGTGATGTATTATACACCTGTTGCTTTACATCCATTTACTATTCTGCCCCACAAAAACACATACACACATTAGTCTCATAAATAACAAGATTCTAATAAGATAAAGTATGTGAGCGCTAACCATAGCAAATACCTCCGTTCTTCAATAATCTTCTGTTACAATGTCCCACACATCGAACTGACTTCCTTCACTCTTCTTTTTTCGTCCAATCCATCTTGCTGTGGAATGCGATGCCCACGGATATCAGGACGGCGACCAGTCGTCTGTCCTTCAAATTTAAGGTTTGTGAGTATCTACAGAAGAGGCTAGCAGACTCAACACACACTTAGGTCTTGTTCGTATTTATGTATAATTATGTATGTATATATGTTATATTATGTTATGTATTTTCCTTCATATATTTAGGTATATATATGTCCCATACTTATTTGTCTACTGTTCGTTTTGCATTACGTATATATTTTATATTTAATTAGTATATATTGTATGATATGTATAATTATATATGATGTTAATGTTAATCATATGTAATGTTAATTATTGTGTAATTCTAATAAGTGTTAAACGTTTACACCTACTATTGTGTCTCTCTGCATCACCCTAAGGTTGACTGTTAGAGAATGCCACTAGGCATTAAGTCCGCCATTGTATATATACAAAAAGTGTAAATAAATAAAAAAAAAATAAAGTTCTTATTTATATTTTGTATCTGAAAAAAAGTCTGTTCTCATTTGCAGGTATATCTGAATTGCCGACAGATGATGGTCTTCCAAGCACAGTGACCGTGCTGGATGCTCCTGATGGTGGGAAAGTGTATTTAGTGGGTACTGCACACTTCAGTATACAATCTCAAGAGGATGTATCCAGGGTATGTTACAATTATATTTTCATTATTTTAGAAATTGAATGTGGTTAGTAAAAATTTTAAGAGATACAAAATAATAACATGTATTGGATGTGAATTAATACTATCATTAACCCGTCATGTGTCTAAATGGGGATCCATGCGAGACACAATGTATTTTCTATTATGATATGTTCTTATATCGGTGCATTCAAGCAGTTAAAAGGACAAACCTTGTAATATTGTATGTTTATGATAATACTTGTATTGTAAATTTCAATTTGTTAGTTTGTTGTAAAATATCTGTGAGTTTTTACTCGTCCTGGTTGTTACCATAAGCCATAAAAATATTGAAGGCAAATCCTCCGCTAACATAGGTCAACGGTGGCATACTTGGCAGTTAACGTGTTAAGTAAGATAGTCAAAGCATGCTATCAAAATATTTTGAACATAAAAAATGGGATTTCACAAATTATGATCCTTGTCACCAAAATAATAAAGACCATTATTCTTTGCCATTTCAGGTAATACAAGAAGTAAACCCACACATTGTGATGGTAGAATTATGTGAACAGAGAACTAATATTTTGTTATTAGATGAAGAAGTTATACTTAGGGAAGCTAAGAACATTAACATTAAAAAGATAAGGTTGGTATTACAAAGTATATTAAGTTATTTGCTTGCAGCAAACATTCTATACAATGTTGCAATATAGTTTGATTGCTACCATTGTACAGTGCTCTACTCGATCCGCTGTTGCGCGGCGAGTCTGAGGCTGAAGAGGAAAATAAAACAATTAGCAATGTTCAATCCAGATTACCAGTGCAACAGCTCATGTTTCCACAATGCTACTTGTCGATATTTATATAAAACAGGAAAAGAGTCCTTAGTTTACTATAAATAACTATAAAATTTTCTTTTGATTCCTGATTCAATTGTCTTTTTATTCAATAAAATGTACATCCGGGTGATTCAATGGGTGAAGTTTATTTTTCTTTGTTATCTATATTTCTTACTCTGATTGTTTGTTTTTATAGAGCGACAATGGCTCAGAATGGCGTATTCAACGGACTTATGTACATATTGTTGTTAAACATGTCCGCCCATATCACTAGGGAGTTGGGTATGGCTCCCGGTGGAGAATTCAGGCGTGCAATGGCTGAGGTAACCAAATTAATACTACAACATAAGAACTTAAAATGTGTATCATATAATATTCAAGTGACCAGCATCCATAGTTTTATTAAACAAAATAACAATAAATAAAATCTATACAGATAAATAAAATTGGAGTGTCTGGTTGTAATATTAAAATAACTGGTCTCTAGAATGGCTGGACAGATTGTGCAAGACTTTTATTGGCAGCTGATGTATTAAGGAGTAACATAGGCTACTTTTATTTTGAAAAATAGAAACAAAAAAAACAAAAGTTCTAAAATTCGTATTCTACGCAGACGAAGTCGCGGACAACAGCATATAAACCATGATAAATGTTTTTAATTTTATTTCCAGGCTAAGAAAGTTCCAGGTTGCATTGTACAGCTAGGTGACAGGGCAATAGATGTCACTCTGCACCGAGCTATTGCTTCCCTGTCTTGGGGACAGACCATAAGGTTCATCTGGCATTTGCTCACGTCAAACCAGACTATAAGGTTAGTTACTCTTTCTGTTTAGAGTTAGACAAATTCAAACATTAATTATTATGTTTTCGACTTACTCACGTAACTGTTTGACGAGGAACTCTGCTAGTTTCAAAGCATGCTAGAGGCTCATATTCATTAGGAGCATTAAGAGACCATAAAAACAACAATTAATTAATGAAATCATAATAGTTAATTTCGTATATCTCATGAAAGTTTTTCTATAAAAATTTAAACATAATATCTTTATGTAAAAAGGTTCTACTTAACAACTCAAGTGGTGCCAATTTCGCCAAAAAATTTTAGTGTCTTCATTACAAAAACCTATTTTTTTCTTTTAGTAGGTAGTATATTAAATATTTATATTACAGTCTGGAAGAAGTAGAAAAATGTAAACAGAAGAAAATGTTAGAAGACATGTTGGAGGAGATGGCTGAGGAGTTCCCAGCATTGAAGAGAGTGTTTGTGGTAGAGAGAGACATGTATCTCTGTCATTCCCTGCAAGTAGCTGCTTTGCAACCGCGTGAGTAGTCTTGTCAGTACTTTACTTAATAAACTCTTAAATAAAGTGACACTTTAATGCTATAACCAACTTTATAGTTTTGTAATAAAGTCCAAAATAGATTGAAGATAGTTTCAAAGATACAAAAGGATATAACTTTAATATATTTTCTTTCAGGTCGTGAGCCTTGCCGCATTGTGGGCGTGGTCGGTATCGGCCATGTAGCAGGCATCGTGGAACATTGGGGCAAAATTAAACCTCAAGACATTCCTCCACTACTCCAGTGAGTAAACATGATTATTTAACCATAACCAAAGACACTTGTAACTTTTAAGCAAACATTTTAACATATATATATTCATCTCGAAAATATCTATATTTATTTATTAAAACTTAATCTTACTTTATTTTACTTAATTTTACTGTACAATACCAATAATATCTATGACATAACATAACATCACGCCCTTTATCCCCGAAGGGGTACGCAGAGGTGCACATTATGCCACTGTGCAATGTAACACCCACTTGTCACTATTTATGTCTCACACTATATTTTAGTCATATTGTCATATATCTTTGACTAAAATAATAATAAAAAAGATCACTCTGATCTTGAAAAACGCAATAAAATTATCATTCACAGATTTCTTTGTTTATTGTAATTAATTTCAGTTTTTAGTTGGTGTTCTAACAAAAATTATCATTTCCTTATACAATATAATTAGATATAATACTTTATCATCAACAGGGTGCCGCCGCCGTCTCTGTCTACGCGTGTGATTCGCGTCACTGTACGCGTGGCGTGCATAGGCGCTCTGATCTACGCTGGTTATAAGCTCAGACCTCGACGCTGGTTCCCTTGATAGCGATACAATGCAATATGGTGACCATAATAATATGACTGAGGTAAGCAATTTTATATGTGATCTGTTAGAAAAATCCCCACATAAAAATTGGATATACATGCATAAAGTTTACAATGCAATATTAAACTTCAAACCATCAAGGTAAGAGCGTATTCCTTTTTAAAACGCTGGCAACGTGGATGTCCATGGGCGGCGTTGATCGCTTATCATCAGGTGATCCGTATGTTCAGTTGCCTATTATTCCATAAAAAAAATTATCGACGTGCTAGCTCAGCGATGATGTCGATAGCCTCTTTTTAACCAGACGTCCATAGATATGTATGTAGTTAAAAAGAAAAAAGGAGTGCATAGTTATTTATTCTGTACTTTGAGCACGTTATTCAATGATTTTATTTTCGTCTTTTTTTCAGGTTTGGCTTGTGCGTTGGCTAACTATAATAAGAAGTTGATTTTGTGATGTTTGGTTCTTTATAAGGTCTTGCAATAAAATTAATAATAATTCTATAAATGCAAGTTGTTGTTAGAGAGAATGTTAATTAAGTTTACTGGATTATTCAAATGGGCCATGTTTGTTAGCAAACAAATATATATGTGAAATAAAATATATAAATAATATTATGATTTAGATATCTATGACATTGTATATAAGGTGGTTTATTGCTTATAAGCGCTGATACATAAAAATACTTTATTCAATAGCTTTGCCTGATTTTCTTTGTGTCTTAAGTGTTCACAGTCATTTTATATTGACTCGACAGAATTGATTGGTTCGTCGGATCATCCGCATTGTTATATCATAATACCTATACTTACAAATAATGTTACAAGTAAAATAGTTTGTTGTTTCTGGGTGATTGGATGTTCCGTTTGCACTAGACTTAAATATTAAGGATCAGATTGGGACCTTCGCCCATAGAGTGGGCGAGTTATATAAAAGCTCAAGATATAATTGATGATTGTAAAAATGCCTTTCATTTATCTATATACAATAATTAGGCTGTAGTAATACATGATCAATTACAATGAATTATATTTAGATGACTGATTTATTGATCTTCATAACGCACAGCTTCCGCTTGCTCTAAGATTAAAGACCCTCCACAATGACATGTATTAAATTAATGTATGACAATTAATATGTTTGAGTATATAACGGAATAATCAAGGTTTAAAGTGCTTATAAGTACCTAATAGAATTGATAGTCACACAGTCCCATTTCGTAGATCTGAACCTTACTTGTACAGGAAAGATTTTATAAAAACAACTTTAGTATAGTGTTTGACGAGTGTTAATATAAAGATACTGATAAACTCGAGCATTCATTTGTAATGAGCGTTTTTGCAATGTTACATTACAGGAAAATAACGAGTGTTTTAGCGGGCAATCTGTCAAGCGTTCTGATGAGTAGTCTATCGAGCGTTCTAGCAAGCATGCCACTATCAAACGTACTGGCGAACATCTTAGCGAAGGACAGTAAAGCTTTATCAAAGCGACGTTAGGAGAGCCGAACACAATTCGTCTAGTGAAGCGAGGGCGCTGCGAGCATTACGTTCGTGTTAGGTTGCGTTTCGCCTGTTGTCGGTTTTTTGACGAACACAAAGGGATTTGCTTTGCACTCGCAGTGGTCACTGCGCTCACTCACTGCGGAAAACTACTTTCGAGGATAGTGATCGTTGTAGGTTCATTGTACGCCCAAACTTGAAGCTGCGAACGACGAAGTCAAGAACGGCTCCACTTGTGCTTCCTTCGTGCTCGGTTCTTCTAGTGTAGACCTGGCTTTGGAGAAAAATTTTCACGACGAGCATCGACTAGAGAGCTCGCTGAAATGCTCATAAAATGTTCGTAGCAATTTGTGGCTACACTCGGTTCAGCTCGGCTCATTGTTGTTGAGTTCGATAAATTCATAAACGGCGAATGCTTAATGTTCTGTTACGGTTGGAATGCTCAGGTTTATCAGCACCGTGGGGTGTCCGTTCCAGAATATTGTGTTATTAGATATTTTACTTACCTTTGTAAAATACCAATTTATGACTTTTAATTTAGTAATGGCTGCAATTAAGTTTGTCTTAAGATTAATAAAATAAGACGTGAACTTGATTTTATTAGGAATTTTGACTGAGCTATGGTTTTGTATTTTGTTGATTAACAATTTCTAAGTCAAACTACTACTAAAATAGCAAGGATTTGAAATTAGTCTACCTGTGTTATCTAGTTGTCATTTCTATGTACTTATGTATAAAAAAATGTGAAGGTATCGATTTCAAACCTTGCTAATAAAAAAGTGTTCTATGCGTGTTAGACCAATTTTTATGTAGTTAGTATTGGTTCGATAAATAAAAAAGGACTGTGATAGAAAATTATAAATAAATTTCCATCCGTCTTAAAGAATTAGGCCGATATTTATATCATAATTTATATACTTATTCGTTAAATTGAGTTCTTAAAACTAAATAGTGCTTTATAATTTTAGAGGTTTCTTAGGAAACTTCTGCTTTGTAGCTCAGTAACATGAAAAATATTGTTCACATTACCTATATTGAATAAAGGAATAACCTAAAATGAAATCTTTTATTTCCCTTCATACATTCTTACAAACTCCACATTTGATCAAGGAAATTAAAAAAGCGCAATTCATTTTTATGATAAAAGGAGTAAAGGGCACCGCTATTCGTAATCTAGTTCCGCTACTCAATGATAGATGGCGCTTATTCATCTAAAGGCCGCTACGCTCCTGTGGCTCCTCTGGTTTTGCCTGGTATCTACGAGCGTTAATCGTTTGGTTACCATCCAAGTAATCCCGCCTATCCTCCTATTCTCCTTTTCCATAAAAAGCCCAAGAAGTTTTGCATAGTACTGAAATCAATAAAAAATCTTTTTAATACTGGCTGGTTAAAAAAAATGAAATCAGCTTGCCTTTATAATTAGACAAAAACTAATTAGTCAAAAATGGACAAGTTTTAGTAATACAGTGTTTTCACGGGAAATTCAAAGTAATTTATTAATAATGCGACAAAATTGTATATTACAAAGTTTAAGATAAATATGAAATACGAAACATGCATTCTACTTAGACGATTTTTGAGCAGAACTTTTGAAGTTCCGTCTATTCGTAGACCAATCAAAAAATCCATACGTAAGCTATAATTCACTTCTCTGTTTGACGAACATGTTTAGAAGAAATAAATCATTTTATTTTAATAATGTATTATCTACAGCTACAATATTTAATGTGAACTTATTTTATCTCTTGTGCAGCGGTATGCTCAATATATCCTAAGAATGCATATGCGAGCTCTATACAATTACCAAAATCGGCAACCCTACTGCAAAATGATGAAAATACTACCGTGGTACTCTTGGGGACGGTGCATTTCAGCAAACAATCAGTTGAAGATGTGTCCGAGGTACTTGCCTATTTGCATTTTAAAAATAATTTATTATAATGACATCTTCAATTCCTGGCTGTTTTCTGCAACAGGGTTTCAGTAAATTTTAGGTTTCTATGAAAACTGATAAGCCTGACTAATTGTATTCATGCTTTTAATTTGTTCTGTGTGTAAAAGAGAACGCTAATTAGGTGCTAATATTTTTTGCCATCAGATAGTGAAAGTCTTAAATCCAAACGCTATTTTAGTAGAATTATGTCGGCAGAGAGTATCACTTTTGGAATTGGACGATAAAAAGTTTCTCGAAGATGCTAAAAACTTTGATGCCCAAAAGTTAAAGTAAGCCATTTTGAACTATCTATTGTATAGGTGCCTATAATTAGTTGTTACAGAGACCGAGTTTTTAGAAACAAATAATGACTGATAAATCATTACAGAAAGTGAGGTAGGAGGTAGTAGGTATCTTAATATCTTCATATAGTATTTGTATATATAATAATTATAGCAAAATAAAGTTCCGGAGATTAGCACATTCAAACGAACAATCTCGTCAACTTTATATATTAGTATCGTACCTATTATTTATATGTACCTATAGATTTACTCTTTTGCACCTACATTTTTAATATTTATGAGGCATAATTTAGAAAAAAGCGCTGAAGAAAACATTGTAATGTTTATATAACATGTTTTATACAGAGAGGCAGTAAAAGGCCAAAACTTCGTGTCTGGAATGTTACACGCAATGCTATTAAAGACTTACGCTGATATCGCTAAAGAGTTGGGAGTCGCACCTGGAGGAGAGTTTCGAAGAGCTTATCATGAGGTCAGATCATTATGAACCACGTCAAATATTGATAAAATATAAAGATTTGCTAGTAATAACTTAGCATGTTTTGTTTTTTGTAGATGAAGAAAATACCGGGATGTAAGTTATTTCTTGGCGACCGACCAATTCAAATAACGATTGCTAGAGCCTTTCAGTCGTTGAGCGTGTATGAATTGGGTCAAGTATTGTACCATCTTACGACAACAAACCCAAAACCGCTAGAGTTGGTACTTTTTAAACTACTGTTTTTATTTTCATATTTACCAGCTAGAGAACCTTTTAACTAAACGGTTAATTCATATTTTTTATAACAGCAAGGACCAATTAGAAAAGTACAAAGATAGGGATTTTGTTCAAGCGCAGTTTGAAGAAATAACTAAAGATGTACCCGCTTTTAAGAAAATTTTTCATGTTTTTGTCGACGAGCGTGACAAATGTCTTGCGTATTCACTACAAGAATGTGTTCGTGCTGGTAAGAAGTCCATGATAAGAGTAGAGTAGATATAAACTCGACATTGAGAATGGTGTTAATTTTTTACAAACACCTAATTTTAATATTTAAAAACCCTACTTAGTACCTACCTAGTGTCGACAGTATATATAAGTGAAGTAGTTTAAATAAAATTTTAAAATTAAATACATATATAGTCAGTTACATAAACATCAAACCAAACCTTGATTGAGCTTTTTCTTTATTGGCCTACTCTCACCTGCTTGCAGGTTTTAATTACCTATTAGATTTAAATTAAAATAAGATTTTGTTTCAATAGTTCAAAGTCCTCGCGTCCTTGCTGTGGTCGGCATGGGACATGTAGATGGCATTGTAAAATATTATGGGAAAATGAGGCAAGAGGATATCGTGCCACTACTGTTGTAAGTTTAAAACTCAAGTAAAACACAGATTTAGTTTATACAGGGTGTCCCTGAAGTCTACGATCAAATGTGAACTTGAACAGCAAGATTCCAATAGTTATCAGAAACAAAAATCAAATCATATACTTTTAAATTAAAATGACTTAAAAGTACACTACTATTATAATTTATCAGGTAGGTACCTAATTATAATAGGAGGTACCTATTAACGTGCACTACACACTTATCTTAATATATTTCTATGGGTTTACCTCCAGATACGAAGTACGATAGGTATTATAGGTGAATAAAACTAAGAATTATTACTATTTTATACGACTCATAAAGTATTGTCTTTGTTTACCCCTTACATCTATAGGTACTCATTGACTATTTAAGTTTTATATGCATCGATCGCGGACCTATTATGTTATTAATATTAACGTGTGCTTGTCTAGAGTCAAGAAACATAATAAATATCGCAAGTAATCGTGCGTTACCCACATACACATAAATAGCTACCTACATGATACTTTCTGGCTGTTATCTAAATCAATTGCCTCTAGGTACGCAGTTATTAATCGTTATTAAACTTACATCTTCTACGTTAAAAAATGTACATAACTTACTTTTTCTATATTATTTATTTAGAAATACAATAAGATTTTGTAGAAACGAGTAGGTATCCCGCACACGCCAAACTTATTTATTTTTCTTTGTTTTCAGTGATTAAATTAATCGGTTAATGAATACCTATAAACATAAAAGTTCATGAAGGTGAGGAGCTTACCTAGTAAAATGTTTAAAACTTAGCGCTAGACATAATTTTTTTTAGTACCTACATTTAAATTTAACCTATCAAAATTTTGTTTTTCGAGGCTTGGTGACAACCCCAGGCATTGGGCATGCCTTGCCTTAATGTACTTTTTAAAATTTAGATCGTCCAAGATTTTCTTTAGTTTTTAATTGACAGATATTTTTTTCATCGTGTTTATGAATTCTTGCTCATTTACTTTCTTTTTCTTGAATTTATTAAAATAAATATCTGACGATTTAAAAATAAGTTACTAGTTTAGTAGGTAGGTATCGATCGCTTGTATCTGTTAGGTGCATTGATTATAATAAAAACCCAAAGTCCTCTTTTTTCAGCATACCCCCACGGCCAATGTATAAAGTGATATTACCAAAAGTTCTGAAAATTGGTTTCTATTTTATTATTTTTTCTTTTTTTTATAGGTTATTGTTTGGATAAATGATATTTATTAACTAAATTAGAACTAAGTAAAAAGAGTTGAAATAAATATTTATATCCGCATTATTATGTATTTTATTGATTACACAAACCACCAGGCCCGCTGTAAGCGGGCGAGAAAAATCGAGCGACTCATTATCTACTAGGCTACTACTTAAAATCGTTGTCCAGAGTAAGCAGAAAGCATAGGAAATATCATCGCCGGATAGAAAAAATCCCACTCGACGCAGGCAATATTAACGATGACTATCTATCGTCATAAGCTAATAATAAGACTAAGATGCAATATCAAACTTGGAGTCACCCGAAAATTGTTCACCGCCTGCTCCCGTTCAGTGGCGCCCCAAATGCTATACAAGTCGAAATCGAGTTAAGATTTAGTCGGTTTCTATAAATGGTAGTACTTGTAAATTCGGAGAACATTACTACTCACCGCCCAATACCGGTTAATGGCAACCCAAATCCGATACAAAAATCCTTCTGAACATACTTTTTGGTGCCCTGTACCGGTCAGTGACGCCATAAATTTGAAGTCTATCGAGCGTCCTCGATCACTTTCGAGAGTCACTTGAAGTCTATCGAGCGTTCTCTATCTCTTAGGATTACACAAAAACTATCGAGCATCCTTGATCACTTTCGAGACTAACTCGAAAACTATCGAGCGTGTTCGAAGACGACGGAGCGTCCTGGAACACTTTCGAGAAAGACTCGAAAAGTATCGAGTGTCCTCTTATCATTTTTGACAGTTACTCGAAAACCATCAAGCGCCTTCGATTTCTACGAGAGTTATTCGAAATGTATCGAGTATCCTCTATTATTTTCGAGAGGTAGCAGAAGACGCTTTTGGAGTATCGCGTCGCGTTGTCGGGATGTCCGGCCACCGTAAGCGCCAGTCTGCGGACGGCAAGCAAGGATAGCTCACCACTTGACAATTGTACCAGTCCCGAGCTTACGGCGCGTCGTGTAAAATGCGGGCCTCAAAGACAAAGGGCCATCAGACCACCATAGACGGGGCTCAACAGGATGGTTGCCTTGCTGGTTGTCATATGGGTACTGAGGCCCTGGCTTTGAGCAAATGTTGGAAGGAATGGTGTGGTTTTTAATTAGTAACTTGCTCAAGAGTCATTTGATGACTTTTTACGCAGCAACAAAAAGGGGGGGGGGGCATTATCATTGTAATTGTAATTACGCGGGCGCTCAAATAGCTAGCGGCGAGCCTACAAACCACTCAAAGAGCCGAAAGTTCAGCAGTCGCGCTTGCGACCACTCAATTAACGAGGTCAGACCTAACTTTACAGCGCCCTCTTGTATTATGTTAAATTTATATTTTTTTCTTATTGGTTAATTGTAATTAGTTTATAATAATGCATTTTATAAATTCATGAATTGTATTAGAACACAAAAAAATGCACGTTGGGGGTAGACGACTAATTTTTATTTTAATGTCCGTCTGATAGATTATTTAAAAACATTAGACACGTATTTTTTATTTTCTCACAGAAACGAATAGTTTCGAAGATATATTGATTTGAAATGTCGCGTGACGTCACTTCTCAGTACATTTTATACTAAGGAATGACGTTTTAGCCCCCACTCCTAAACTTTGATTCGTTTTATCTAAGTATTGTTTTATTATACGACAAAATAAAAAAATACGTGTCTAATATTTTTTCATAACGTAACTTACGGACTAATTAGATTTTTAATTTTCATACCCTGTCATCATCCCCTCAACGAGCGTCATCCAAAAAAGTGGATTAATACCACAGACTTCTACTGTAAGTCTATGTGATAAATAACCAGTATTTACGTACTTACTTAGTATTTATCCGTTTTGAGTATTTATTCGAAAAATCGCCCATCTCTAGTGACAACTGAGCTGAGCTCAACTGAGCTGAACTGACAAGTGACGGCTGACGAGTTGTCAGTGACAACACTTGTTTTGGTTGTGATTGTGATTGTGACTGAAATTTCAGAGGTTTGAGAACTTACTGGTGAACAAAAAGTATAATAAGTATAAGGGAACTGGTGAACTAACGTTGTTTTACTACGGTTACAATTTATTAAATAAAACACTATACACTATACGTCTGTGATGGAATTGATCTTGTTTGTGTTTGAACCTGTGTTTCGGAATTAATGCAAACTGCAAAGCTTTAATATTTATGTATAAAAATACCTAAGTGAATAATACGCAAGTTATAACAATGTTATTTATCTTTATTTTATGTATTTTGCAACCAGTCTTAATGTCCAAAGAATCTGGATGTGGCTGTAACCTTAATCGTGGGAAAGATGGAAGTGTCGATAAAGCGAATTTCATTGATTCTAATGACATTGAACAATGTCCTTTTGAGGATGAAAACAAAGCTAGTAAGTACCTCATCTCTGAACAGATGAATACATTCGATGAGATGGTGTTAGTGCCAGCCGGGGAATATCAAGTGGGCACAGATGATATAGCAATAGAAAGTGACCAAGAAGGTCCGAAAAGAATAGTGAAACTAGAAAGTTTTTACTTAGATAAATATGAGGTTTCAAATAAGAATTATGCTAATTTTATAAGCGAAACTAATTATAAGACTGAAGCTGAACAATTTGGAGATAGTTTTGTTTTCTCAGCATTTCTGAATAATACATTTAGAGAGCAATTAAAGGATTTCCGTGCTGTGCAAGCAATGTGGTGGTATAAAGTACTTGGTGCTGATTGGAAGCATCCACACGGGCCTGATTCTGATATTCAAGGTATAGTTGCCAGTGTTATTTTTTTATCTAGCCTGCCAAGCATTACTTATCACCTGGCCTGGCTGGAAGATCCTCCCTTTTCTGATGTTTGATAACATCGTAAATTATGTTCCTTGAAATATGTTTGGTTACACCTACTTTTCTGTTGAACATAAAATATTCAAAAAGAGTATTGGTTTCAAAGTTATTTCGAGATTATGTAGCAATAAATAAATAAAAATGTTTCATTGGCACATTATAAATTATGATAGCACTAGTACTATCTTTATTATTTCACATAACAAATTGTTATCACACAGCACTTTGGCTCTTAAAGTGAATATTTAATAAAATGAGTTCACACAGAAAGTAATTTATAACTGTTAACTCGTCGAGTACCGGTTTTATAGACACAATTAAAGAACAATGGGCTGCGGTCACCGGTGACCGCTTGGTGTTTGACAGTTTAATTACTTATAAAAATATTTTGCAATGCTGGCTGTAATAAAGCTTTTTATATTTTTTAGAAATAATGGATCATCCAGTTATTCATGTATCTTGGAATGATGCAAAAGCCTACTGCAAATGGAAGGGTGCTCGGTTACCAACAGAGGCTGAATGGGAGGCAGCATGTCGAGGAGGCCATCGTGATACCAAGTACCCTTGGGGAGACAAGCTGTTCCCTGACAGAAAGCACATGTTAGTTATATAAACTATTAAAAACTAAAATTAATTCATTACAATCAAATCTCTAGCATTTCCTCAAGTATCCTTGGTCGAGTGCCTAGTAAGATGTTCTGAGTTTGATTCCCAGGTCAAGACTAAGGTATATTGTCTCTTTAAATGGCAATAGGCTCATCTTATTACATTGGACTAATAACAAAAGTTGGTGCAAATTTGATGTTACAATATGTGTGAAGTGCGGGGAGTGTGTCTCATTGCAACTATGAAAGTTTCCTGTAACTTAAAAGTATTTTATTCTATTTTTTAGGGCTAACATCTGGCAAGGGACTTTTCCTACACATAATTCAGCCAAAGATGGTTATGTGGGCACTTGTCCAGTAGACATGTTTCCTCCAAATGACTTTGGACTATACAACATGGCTGGTAATGTGTGGGAGTGGACTGAAGACTCATGGGCTGGGAAAAATGTAAATATATTTTTTCCCTCCTTTATTTTCAGTATACTGAATTACTGATTTATTAATATTTTCATGATTGATGGCTAGGCAGTAGCTAGACGACTACAGCGCTATGCAATGTTTTAGATTCGATTTATGTACCCTTCACTGACAGATTAAAATTTTTTGTTTTAGACTGCCTAATTAATTGAAATAAATGCTGACTTTGAGTTTCACGAAAATAAAAATGTATGTTCTTTTTTTAATTTTTCTTTGTTTTATGACTAGACAATATATGTATTAGTGAGTAGAATAAATAAAATAAGCCATTGACCGAATGTAAGACGCACGAGTCAGAAATATGTGATAGTTTGTTAATGTTTACTTTTTTTTTCTTTACAGCTGAAAGAAAAGGTGAAGAAGGGTGGTTCTTATTTGTGTCACCTGTCCTACTGCTATCGTTATAGATGCTCATCACGATCTCATAATACAGAAGACAGTTCTGCAGGAAACTTGGGATTCCGATGTGCTAAGTCTGCGTAATTAGTGTTCCATAAGTATAGTGGCTAGCAAATCAACATACTCCAATCTGCCAATTTTTCATTGGAGTTATAGCGAAATAATAAAGTTGTTAATCGAATAAGGACTATAGAGTGAATAAAATCAAATAAGGAATAAGTCAAAATATTACCGTTTACATATTATGTTCCTAATTTATGTTATTGATAGATTTTGTAATACAAAAGTAAGTATCCCAGTGCACAATCAAGTTAAGATTTTTTTTTAATTATTTGAACAACACATTAAAAGAACATGAATTGCTAGGCAAATATTGTTATACTGCTTTGTATTTTTATTATTTTTGTATGTTTTTGTTTATTTATATTTATAAAATTGTATACATTGTTTTGAAGAAAACCTTGATTGAATTTTAATTCTTCCTTAAAACTAACCCTGAACTTTATGCTAGTTTGTGATTATGAATCTTAGGAGTAGATGTAGTAGGAAACGATTGGGAGTGATAAATGAAAGTATCCAGTAATATTACACTTATAGTTTAATTGCATATTTTTGTATAAAAATTACAATAGGTACATAAATTGATTTCTATATGATTAATGAAACAAAATTTATATTTACAAAATGGTGAGCTTCAGCTGCTTGGCTGCTAACAAAAGCAGAATATTCGGAGTACAAAAAGCACCTTCAATTTTGGTAAGTACAAAACAAAACGGAAGACTAAAAGGAAGTTTGAAAGCTACTGCTATAAAACCCGTTATCGATTTGATCTAATATACATAATTTTGGTATAAATAAAAGATAAATTAAACAAAATAAATAACCAACACAACCACTTTAGTGTCATAGTAATCTAAACCTAAATTGAACATTCGGTCGAAATTAAAATACAGTTTGTTGTACTTAAAATAGAAAAAAAATAATCACGTCAAAATAAACAACAATAAAAAGTTGTCATCGAAATATTAACACCTGTGTTATAAATACACAAAAAAGGCATACGGCGTTGATAAATCATCTTGTATATTTGATTTGGTGGCTCCCGCCAAAAGGTATATAAAACCCATTTTGATCTAATCGTGAATAAGCCTTGATAATCATGAGCTTGTAAAAATACTGATCAATACTTAAAACTAAACACTGATTCTTATTAACATTTTAGCACTACAATCAAAGCTATTATTTCCTATTTAACACTATTCCATTGAACATTTTCGCTGCCATTAACTTTAAGCATTTATTTAAGTATTCTATAAAATTTGTGGGCCTCTATTATTCTATACATTATTACGTTTCACACTGTTATTAGTGTATATTTTTGAAGTATCATGTCATGTTTTCTAATCAACCACACATCAAAGGTAATGTACACTGGCATCTTTTATTCTTAAAGCAATAAGAGCTACTTTCGCAGAGCGTTACCATTGATGCGAGGTAAACAATTAAGTATAAACTATAATAACATTGTTTATCTTCATATCATCTAGTGAAAATGTTAGTTTTAATGTTTACAAGCTCATAATCATAAATAATATATCTCATTTAAGCACCATGTATAAACTACATGTGTCTGTAAGTATTATGACTGTATTCTTTTAGAGGTCTCTAAACTCTAACTCTAATAATAAAAGTATAAAACGCTATGCGATCACAAATCTAGCTATACATTTACATCAATAAAATAAAATTTACACCATTGATACCGCCTAACTGTATGTACACTAGACAAATCACATGTACCACTACTTCTAGGGTTATTATTGACGAGGCGACATGGCGAGAGGCCGGACCGAAGCTCGCGCATCCCTCTATACATCCGACACCTTTACCCCGAAGGTCCACGCATTAAATAAGAAATATTAACGTCCCGTAATAATTTCAGGCTATGAATCACAGAGTACTACGGAATGCTAAGGTGGGCGCCTTGTCCGCCGTCAGTTGCCGGCCGGCAGCACGGTACGGGACCGCGCGAACGTGCCGTTCGTGTGCCCGTTGGTGAAGCCGTTCTTCAGCGAACCGTTCTTGTACGTTATGTCTTTTATTTCTGTCGTCTCTGGTTGAGGTGATCGGGCGCGAACCTGGAACGAAACCAACATTTTAGTAATTTATTCCAAACGATGCTGCAAGTTACGAATCTAGAATTTGCATCAAATAATGTGGAATCCAGGAATTCAAAATATACCTTAGGTTTGGAGTAGGACTGGTTGTAGAAGTCTTTGAAAAGGAAGAAGAACATGACGGCGTGCATGCCGATCCACCAGACGAACGCGCGAGGGTAGTCGCATTCAATGAACAACAGCTGGAATGCGTGCACCATAATGCCGACGAATTGTACCTGGAAAGTAGCAAATATAATGTTTATTAAGTACATCAGCTGACACATTAATGACCAATTAAGATTGTTATAGCACTTTAGATAAATGCACATTCCTCGAGTCATATTCATAATTGTTAGATAGTTCTAAAATTAGGTAAAGCTGATAATATGAATCATACCATTTGTAAAGTAGTGAGGTACTTCTTCCACCACAGGTATCTCCTCATGTGGGGTCCCATGGCAGCCAGCATGTAGTAGGTGTACATAATAATGTGTACGAAGGTGTTGAGCAAGCCGAAGAAGGTGGAATGACCGCCCGGCGTGAACTTGACGCCGAACCACACTGACATCGGCATCACGCCGTGGTGGATCACGTGTAATGTTGATACATGGTCAAACTTCTTTCTCAGCACAAAGAAGAACTAGAAAAGAAAGAATATTTATTTAATTATTTTTAATATTGAATGGTGTAACTAATTTAATAAGTAAGAGAATGTCATCTAAGATCAGAGATGGACCAATCTGCCACATGTATGCTGGTATATAAAGAATATAAATAGCATACAATTTGAACCTAAAGAAAAACAGAAATTATTACTAAGAGAAAAGAACCCATTTTGAAACGTGGAAAGTTAAATCCACGCGAAATGTCCTACACAATATAAATTGCATACAACTAACTAATTTTAGCAATATTGAGACTCCCTTGTGCGAACCTGTTTGGTGAAACTACAGAGATATGATATCGAGTATTGCCAAACGTGCTTATCACAAACATACGATGATAACGTTACCTACGTTAGTGATGAGTTCATTTCAAGTACGACAAAATCGGTATGGAGAGTAAAATATTTTAGCTAATGACGATTTATGGCTACATAATTATAATATGTAAAGTACCTATACCTATGTACTGTTTTTTTTTTTTTTTTTAAGGGGGGAAAATCATCGAATGACTGCTCCCGCCTGGGTGAGGCGGAAGGGAGTGTCAGACTCTTACTGACTAAAAACCACCCCGTTCCTTCTCCTGCACGTCGAGCCGGAGCCCCGGTTACCCGTTAGGTTCTCCGCGACACCTATGTACTGTAAAAGCATTATACGAGATTTATACTTAGGAAACACGTTAAAACTTACCGTATCAAAGAATTCAGTGAACTTGGAAAAGTAGTACCACCAACATGCGTGAACCATCTGAAAATTGAATATAAACTATTAGATTCCGATCACTTAAAATTCGTATTCATTACATATCATTTCAGTGCTTTTGAGACGAGAGGAATATAATGTACTAATTTACTTTATTTCATCAAACTAAGGGAGAAAACCAAAATAGCAATTAAACAATATCTATTTAAGCAAGCAATCTATGTATAGTAGGTGGATATGTCTAGTCTAATTGTTATAATTATAATATAGGTTGCATTAGGTAAGTGTTATCAATACTTGATAGACATGCGTCATGAATCGTGATGGAAAATGGATGAATCTGAAAATTACTGATTAATTGATGTTAATTAAATGGGTGTGGCGGTGACTATCGATGGTGATGATTTCAATGAAAACTTAAATCAACAACTACTATCACAACTACTATATAGGCAAAAGCGAAATGCTTTGCACAACGAGGGTGGCCGCGGTCAAATTTAACGGGGTTAATTTAGTACCTTGGAAATGTTTTAGTGCTAATGTTCCAGAAGTATGATCCAATGTGAATAAAGAGATAAGAGAATAAGAACTCATAAATGACTCAAGTAATAAAACACAAGGCGTAATGAATGTACATGTAGGTAGTTCAAAGGCAGCTTTCACACAGATATTTATGTAGTGGTGTAATCAAATAGGTACGGTATAGTGTAGCTTTGGGGAGTTGGAACTAATGTAATAAATGGAAGTGATAATTCACCCTCATTGTTTGTGGATGTTTGGAGTGGTCGACCGGCTGACATTGAAAGTTATACCTGCCTGTGAACCAGCCAGCAGCTCCGATCTGAAACAACATGCCGACACCAGGCCCTTATATACATAGTTCGCACATCACCGTATGTCGCGCTTCAGTACGCTGTTCAGTACTGTTCAGATGTTAATGCATACATGGATTAGCGTAACAATGTTGCACATACTTAGTTGATACTTTACAATGTTACAATTACAAGTATCTATTTATATGTTAGTAGCAGTACACTCCAAATACGTAATCATTTGGATGCTTATTTCTATATTATATACCTATCTTAGAATTATTACCATCTGCACCTTGTAGCTACTTTTACAACATACTGCTGCATTGCTAAATAAACATAAATATGTACTATATACAGTGAGCAAGGGTTAGTTATCTTTGCTCTGAATCCAATGCCCGTAGCGTCGTCGCGGACGCCTGTGCATCACTTACTCTAATAGCTTTGGGATTCTCTGTGTAGTCCACAGGTTGGCATCTAAAGCTGTAATGATTCAGCCAGCCCCCCATCATACTCTGAGTATTACATGACAAAAAAACAAAAACATTGATATGCGCATAGTACAACACAATCTTTTTTAATTCTTTCTAATTTAAATGCAAGCACAAACTTTTCGATTCTACATGTAATCTGATTCAATGTATCGTCTCTATAAGGCATTAATAATGAAGTTCTAGATTTTCTATATCAACAAGCAGTTAAAATTGCAGTATATATGACAAAGAAAGGTATAACGGTATCTGAAAACTAGACAACTGTATACGTCAATTACCTCAGTAGTTAATTATCAAATATTTAAGCATTACTATCATTATTTATCTATCTGATTAGGTTTCAATGATAACATTTTGTCTCATTGGAATCATACAATTCTAATGGGAGACAGAAACATTAATCACTAAAAAGCTTTTTCAATATGTTTTGCTACTTCTAAATGCTACCTAGCTATATGAATACCATACCTGTAATGTTGGAACTCTACAGTAAAATATGACAACTAACAAAGCTAAAATTAAATATTAGAGGAAAAAATATTTACCGCACATCAGTCTGAAATACACACAGTTAAGAAAAAAAGGTCAAATCTTATAAAACACAGTGTCAGTGCTCATTACTAATCTAATAACTTGGTGCAGTAAAATATACACAGTTGCAGTTTTAATTACAAAGTGTAATTATTTATGCTAAAGCAAAACTAAGAAAAGGAGTAATCAAATCATTACATAGTAATGAAAGTATTATAAACTTGCTTTTATTAAACTATAAATTAAAAAGTATGTGTCATAAAAACTTTTTTACACATAGTTGTTAATTGAATGTGAATCTTACCTCATAGAACAGCCACGCACTGAATACTACTTGTAAGAAGTTATATAATATTAGAACATTTTTTAGTTCATAGGGTTTTCTATTCTCCATAAATCGTGGTCCTAAAACCTGAAAAAACAAAACATCATGATTAGTTTTAGGAGGGACCATTTAACTCATAAACATGGTTAAAAGAAAACACAAGTTGAATACCTTGACTAGATAGACGTAGCTTAGACATATTAATAATGTAGGAAATGGGGAACTCATCAGGAACCATGGATTTGTCCTAGGATCTGAAAAAAAAACAAATGCATTTTAATTTTTTATTCTACGAAGTTGTTGCGTAGAATATATTTTTAAATTTGTCTATACTGTATTATACAAGGTATGTTTAAAAAAGTATAAACATAGACAAATTTGTTTCAGTACATATTATAATCTATTTTAGTGAATGTGTTAATTGTTGTGATTGGACAAAAGGTGCATAGAGTAAAAGCACATCTGTTTAGTGGGTCATCTAAAAATACTTGTCTGTTATAACTGGAAGTGTGTTGGCAGTGTTCTGAGATATGATCAGTATCATGAGATAAATTTGTCACGCTAGTCATCCTTACAGATATGGAACATTTTATAAGCATCTATGTTTATCTGATCACTATAAGTTTACAATATCAGTAATGTTTGTTTTATATTAGCTATTCATTCGAACGGTTTACTTCTAATATTTTTCGAGAGGTTTTTATTTTATAATTATATTTTTGTTTAAAATATTTTTTTGTTACATAGGAAACAGATAAGTGTACTTACTTATTTCTTGTTAATTAATCATGAAAAAAAATTATTTAAAGTCGGCTTGAATATTTCTGAATATTTAAGTAAGAAAGCAAGTTCCTGGGCTGATTTTAAATCAGATTTTTTAAGGTGTTCAGTAGATTCCAATATAAAACTTACCTCCATATTTGTCCATATAATATTGAAAATCGCTTATATACTGTAGCATTATTCCTAGCGCCATTGTGTCGATTTCTGAAAATAAATTTAAAAATGATTAAAACAATTGAAATATCCCCCTAAACGTCAAGACTGTTCCGCGATTATGTCAATTGTTTAGTGATATCTTAATACTGACCGAACGATTAGAACCACTGCTCCCTTATCAATACATTATTTACTAAAATTGTTTAGTTATTATTTAGCCAGTAATGTACAATAAAATTATTTTTTAATCCATCGAAATGAAAATAGGTTAAGCAGGCTTTGGCGCACTGACAGACGGCAGCAGCGTTGCAGGAACAGGAATGGGGAACACTATCCAAAATCAACTCAACAGATGGCGCCGTAAGTACCAATGAAAATAATGAAAAAATAAATACTACGTACATAAATAATTATAAACATCTTAAATAGGGATTTTTATTGTAAATAAAGTAAAACTCTATAACAATTTTGTACCCTTTTTTTAAATGCTTGATACGGAAAATGGAATCAGTAGAGGGTAGAGCGACATGTGGTAATAAGAGGTATATGACATTTTATACATACATTGGGAGGCGTTTAAACAAGGATTACGTTTAAACATTCAAAATATATAAATGGAAGCCCGAAAGGATGAAATAATTATGTGCCAAACACTAACAAACGGAACGCAACTGTTCGTTGGCCGACGTGCGACATGTCAACCCATGATGTCAGTGACAATAGTCATTAGGTCTAGCGTGACATTATTTTGGTGGGACATTTAAAAATGGAACAGGACTATCAAGTCTCATTCAGATATTCAATAATATTAGCTATGTTATGTACGTAATAATCCCGTGCAAAATCCTTAATTGATATTGAATTTATAGAAGCACTATTGTAAAAAAAATATCAAATATGTTGTAAAATGTAGCATCAGTCCACTGAATTAAAATTCATTGCTCGTATCTTATGCGTGGTAGAGTCTAGGCTGCTGCAAAAGCCGAGCGCATGAATTTGACAATACTTTTCTAATCAAACTTTGTTTTAAACTGGTTAGGTATACGATAGATATCACATATTTATTAGGCATCAACATTGTAGGAGTCTATACCTGTAGGTAGAATACCTATATCACCTACTCACTAGAGTTAGGTACCTGTGTAATGGCTATATTCGTATGCAATTGGCCAATCGGTATGCTCCAGGTTAATTGGCCTATTACCTATACACGGAGAGTCTTACATTACAGGGTCAAGGTCAAGGTCAAGGTCACATTTCATTTTCAAAATTATTCGTGTGTTCAGATGGACAATTCGTGAGGCAGTTCACATCAATTTCGGCAAAATTTATAATTATGTTTATAATACATATTAAGAACCTACGTGACGTGAAGCGGTTAAAACAATGGACCGTTAAATATCTTACGTAATGGTACTGTGAATGACATGATGAGCCTATCTTAGCTACCTGTTGAGGTATGCATACACAACATTGACGATAATCGTTGCGTCAGTCGCCAATAAATAAAAGAAGATTGATGAACTTTTTAATCTGAATCCTTTGCAAATGTATCGATAATTCGATACTTAGTTCCTACGTTACTTTGCAACGTTATAACCATACCAATTTTCCTGAAAATTTAAGCATCGGTCGTTTATTTTTTACAAATCGTCGATGACCTAATATTATTGAGTGGGTAAGTGTTATAGGTAGATAATATTTATAAATCTAGATAGCAGTGTGCTCATCCCCTTATATAAAACATATCAGGCGTATCACTTGCTTATCGTTAGATACACTCCTCAACTTTCTCAGAATACATATATCAAGCTAGAAATGGCAAAAAATATTGGATTCCTGCAGCATTTCATTAGGTACAACAACGATTCTACAATTTTTCAGTTTGATTTGGATACTCTACGTTAATAGGTAGGTATTCAAAACTCGTAGCTACTCACCTTAAACTAGATACAATTTTCCGAGGCAATTTTGTCTTCCGTTCGCTTAGCTTAACTGAAACAAGAAAATACATTGATTAATATCGTGCACATGTCGGTAAATGAAAATTGAAGTTTCCATACACGTGAGATATCAGACAGTTTAAATACTACCGTTGTTTAAATATATACCTACCTACGTCGAGGTTCTTGGGAGCTACGTATAACGTTTATTATTCATATCTTTGCTGATAGCAGCGTTAGTGACGGTTGCTATGCCAGTTGGCTGCAGACGACATGTGTATACTAGCACTAGCCAACCAGTTTTACTCGATAAACCTCTACAATTGGCTCGGGCCCTGATAAAATTACATTAAGCATAAGCATCTTTCGGTCTCAGCTTATGTAACATTCATATTCATATTCAAATGGTGGTTCATTATATTTAACGGTACCTATGAGCCAGTCAAGCAACATCATAAATAAAATTAATTTTAGTCGGTAGCTACAATAAATAATATAGTACATGGACAAACACGTTGACTTACAAGAGATTCCACTAAGAATTTCAGAATCATGAAAGTGATTCATCAGTCAATTTACATCGTAATGTTCGACCACTGCAATGTCAATGAATGACGTTATTCATTGTTTCAAGGAATCTCGATGGTCAATATCGTGCAATTAACGGTTACATGTTGGTAGCAGTTACAGTGTCTGTGCCATGTTCACGTTAGTACAAAACTACAAAACGTAATGCTTTATGTACCAAATCACGTTGTGTAGCGACCTTCGTATTATGATAGTCATGTGGTGCTCGTTTCGTTCTAGTAAAGATTTGTTGCACATTACGCAGGCTTGTATATTCAGGTGATATTTTTAGTGACCTAGTTTATGTGTCTACACGATTCTTAGTGATAGGTAGTGATAAGATATAGAGTTTAAAACTAAGTATAGGTACGTATGGCGGGAGGTGTAGCCGACGTGAAATTATGAGATTGTCGTCATTCCGAGTCATTTCATAGAGATAACATAATATTTATCTGAGTACGAAGACATGGCATTTCACAATAAATGTAAGATGATATTAAAAAATGGTAGTGTTAATAAACTAGTTTGGAATACTTGCCTTCTAACGGTTTTTCTAGTATTTTCGGTCTTATTAAGTAAGTTTCAAGATGAAGGTGGAAAATTGTTCACTTGTTTAGATTGTGTACCTTCTTATAATTGTTTGCAAAAAGTATTAAATAGTGATGCAATAGTTTTACTAAATTAACATATCACTGGAGAACTGAAAACTACTTATCTACACATTTAAGTTCCCAGTTCGTGAGTCAACACTCGAATTTGTTGAACATTATCATTTAATTCTCAAGTAGATACGTAAATAGATAGGAAGACCTAGAATTTGTCATATTTATCATTAATATGTTATCTGTAATTTACCAATGCGTTTTGTAGGGTTTTATAATCTGTTATTATTATATTCTCAGTACATATTTAAGCATTTCTACCTAGTAGTTAGCTTCTAGTTAATTCACGGACAAACCTACCTAGATTACACAGGTATAAACATTTCTAAACCTAAAAACATGTGGTAAGAAACCAAATAAGAACGGCCTACATTTCTTAAATTTGCAGTTTGACTAATTACACCTTCCACATTGAATGACAGGCACGTAGCTCTACGGTAGCGTAAATATTATAATAGCAATAAAAATATATGTTGAGTGTCGAAACTGCCTATGCGTAATGAAATGACATTGATCATACAACTGGAAAATTTGGTTAGCTCTTGCGAATTGGTGCAATAAGTAGCTCGTGATGCCGTGAGTTTGGACGTGCGAATTTAATTTCTGCGATAGTCGATACCTTACTCATTCTTTGAGCTCTCCTATATGTAGGTACGTATCGGAACTGTGAAATATCTGTTTATAAGGGAATTTGGAAAGTTAAGTTACAGTGATGAACAATAGTCAAAATAAGTGTAAATATAATCATTCTATGTACCTATATGTAATCCCGCAGTATGTAGTAAAAACTAAGAAGCCTGAACAACGCAACATTTCGTGCTATTTAACTATTGCGTTAATCTCGACATTGAACTGTAGAAGTTTTTGTAGTTATTTATAGTAAACAAAATGCATTGAAGCGTAAAGATAGCGGAACATCAGAGTCTAGTGCTAACGTTATGTATTTACTTACTTCACTAATGTGATGTAACTGGATTCAAGTTACCCGACGACCATAAGCTATGATTTGAAACAGTGGGATTATCGAACCTTATGTTATTATGATTCCACAATGCCTTTTAAAAAACTGATATTTATTGTAATAATCGTAAGCATGGAGATTGTAGTAAAAATATCTTATATGGAGGAAACCCAGGCAATGGACTGTCACGGGTTGTTGATCGCTATGTCGTATTTATATATTTTACGCATTTACAAATGTAATATATAAATCAAGTAAAATTGAAATATAGACTTAAAAAAAATTAATTGCATTTCTTAACTTGAGTAAGTCATTATTTTAGTATCTTTTTCCGCTGTTTCATCAATTTAATATTAAGTTCAAATAAATAAATAAATAGAGCGGATACAATAATAGTGGGTGATACGAATTCATTATATGGTTGATTTCAGTTACGTAAATCTATGTTGATAGTAGGAAGGTAGGTAGAGCCGTAGAGCACCAGGTTGCTATGAACTTTGATCTGATTACAGGTATCTATACCAAACAGATAGGTAGTATGTACACATTATATATGTCATTGTACGATTAATACAAGTATTCTGCCAACAGGCGTTACGTTTGATTTTGAAACAGTTTAAAAACATATTTTATCGATTTAAATATACTTAAACTGCTTACATATTTTGAAATCCGTATTTAAAGAAGTTGCGATAGTCTGTATGACTCTTTAGTTTATCTAAGAACAAACACTATTTATCAGTGTGAGATATCTTTTATCTCACGTATTAAGTAACTACAAGTAATTAGATAGCAATTAAATTAATTAATTTCAGATTTATTCGTGTAAGTCGCGTATGAGTTGATGATAAAACGATTAATTCAATCAATTGTTAAATCAATTTCCCGATTATCCATGTTAATAACTTTTTATAGTGTGCTTAAATGGATAATTACATTGTATAGGCAATATGATATTTTGATAAGGCGATATAATAAGAATTGTGTAAGCAGTCGGCAGTGTTGTAAGAAGAATGCGTTCGTTGCAACACATGCGACGCTCCACAACTCGTACAGAGCAAGTTGCAGCAGATCGCCGGTGACGGCCGAAGCTGGTTGTTTATGTACCAAGTTGCTGTTGCCCTCGACTTGATTTATGAAGAATTATTTTTAAAGTAACGAATTCCAATATACAAATTAAAATAGAACCCCTTATATTATGTTACGAACCCCCCCCCCCTAGCCCAAACAACATTGTTTATAAATTTTGGCGATGTAATTCGATTGCAATCAATTTGTACTCACTCAACAATTTATCGGTGAAGGTCACGCATCCGAATTCAAGGCTGTGTCTATGAATGAACGATTGTAACATCTAGCAGTGAATGGTTTTCAATCTGTTTAACTTAGGCTTAGGCTTACATCACGTGAAAACGAATGGACATGTATTTCAGATCTGAAGTCTCTGAGGATCGTCTTATTAGAATAGAGGTAATATAATTTGTTGTTGTCATTAGACGGAGCAATCGCCTCGTGCCTAAGTGGGTCATTGGCTGCACGTCGAGTTATGTAACACTAGCAGTGGCTCCGCGAGGCACTCGCAAGTGCACACTGCTACAAACCTCTCCTTATCATGAGGACATTTGCTATTTCAATCCTACATTAAACTAGGCAACTTAATCTATACCGTTATGCTATTGTATAGTCTCAGTCTAGTGTTTAAGCAACAGTGATGGTACCTATTACGTGCTCAATCTATTCTAGACGAATCGTTTAGCTTAATATGAGCATATTCGGTGATCTATCTTTGTAATCTTTTACATAACGGTCTGTTAAATATGACTGTACAAGTAAATTGTATATTACAAACCTTGGTACCAAGATATTATGCAAGTGAAGCTATAATCGTGTTGGGAGTTGGCAAGTTGTTAGTGTGCTTTGTCAGAATAGCTGGTTGTTGTCAAACAATGTTGAGTCAAGTAAGAGTTGGGTTTTGCGTTTGACTGACTACTGAGTGGTTGGGGCCTGAGTGTGCCTTACTGGCCGTTGTCGTCATGGTCGTCGCGTGGGAATACACGTACTTAGAATTCTAATTACATTTACATTCCTACTATGTTCAGTGTTTAATGTAGTTACGGCGGTGTAACCTGCCTCCGAGCTACAAAGAAGCGATAACATAATAGGAATTCTATGAAAGAAGCGAAGATGTCATCAACACAAAGACGTTACCGATCGATTGTGTTCACAAGGAAAATGGATTGTCGCTCACTTACGTTGAGATTACAAGACTGGCGACGTAGCTAAGTGCTAGTGTTGAAACTAATGACTGCACTATTTGTAACTCAGTCCAATAGGCGGCGCTACGTACAACTGCAAGTACTCGTACCAATAATTTGTACTATTTACCAAATTGTTTTCAGGTAATTCAGAAAATGCTACTAAGTAATGATGTTTAAACTTTTTTTCAAGACTTGTTTCTTTGGGTGACGTGTGACAGATAGATACTTTATGATTCTTCAGATAATTTTAGCCACAATAGTGTATTAAGAGTGTGTGTGTACTTTGCAATTACTCACTAACCTGGGAAACAATAGTGCGTGGGTGGACGTCAGACAATTGTGGGGAATACCGTATTATTGACATTCTTGTTTCGTCCCAGTGCGTTATACGATCGACAGTCAGCCATATTTATGAGATTTAATGAATTAATTATCTTATTACTTAGAATAAAATATTGAAAGAAAAATGTCAGTTCTTTAATTTACAGCTGTCGAGCAACGCTATAAATATGTATTTGTAAGGCGTGATTTGATTAATTGAACATAATAGAGTACTTGGTTTTACTTTATTGCTTCCGTTTTACAGTTTTTTTCATAAGAATTA